TTCACTTCTCCATCTTCACCATCAAATCCATGCAGCTGTCTCTTGCTGAACTACCGCAACGTTTCCCCAAGTGCTCTCGTGACCCCACAGCCTGTTCTCCAGGCAAAGCTGCTGTTGTTTAGTGACCCAGTTATGTCCGATTCTGCGACCCCATGGACTGTAGCCTGCCACGCTCCTCTGTCCATGAGATTTTCCAGGCAAGAATACTGGAGTGGGTTGCCATTTCCTTCTCCATGGGCCTTTTCAAAATACAAACCAATCATGTCACTCCTCTGCCTAAAGGCCAGGGACCAGGGTAAATCTTGCTGAGCCCCTAGCCAGTCGTGGCAGACTCATTCCACTTGACCTTGACTGGTTTCATTGTGGGCAGAGACCAGCGCGTGACTTGTTTCTGGTCACTGAAACGTGAGCATTGCTTCTGGGGAACTTCTGGGAAAGGTATCTTTGCTCTGTGAAAGAGATCTGTGGAAGAAACAGATGCTTTCTGTTTTGCTAGCGATTATCACACCTGGGTGTGTCTAAGGAACCATTCCAGGCACTGGAAGGAAAGCAGTGCCTGAAGTCCAGACTGCCACCACTGGACCCTGCCCTCCCATATGAGGCAAATCTCCTTGCTATGCAAGTCGATTTGAGCTGGATTTTCTGGCATGTGCAGCTCTAAGGATTTTGATACGTGTCTGAAGCATCCAGTGCCGACATGGGCAGTTGGATACCTGGAGTTGAAGCAAAGTGGAGAGGTCTGAGCTGGAGAAATATATGTGAGTCCTTGGTGAAGCTTAGGGAAGAGATGAGATTGTCAAGAAGGAGGGTTGAAGGTGGGATCAGAAAAAGTTTAGGAAAGAGTGATGAGACTGCCAAGAAGTTGAGGAGGGATTGGGTCAGAGAGGTGCCAAGGGTGATCACCTGTGGCCAGGAGAAAGGACTTCCTGCTCATCTTCCTCTTTATATTGACTGGGACTAATAGTAAGGGCATTACAACATTCCCGAGTGTATTTTAACTGGACAAACGGAAGTGGCTCAGGAATGTTTTCACTAGAGGAGGAAGTTGGATTTCAGAACCAACCCTTGGGGATTAGGAGCGTTTGGCTGCCTGCCATTTAACAAGGAGGTCATTTTACCAGAATGTGAAAGGCCACCAAAAACTGAACAAAACAGCCAGATCAGAGACCATTTCTCCTCTTCTGAGTATAAGACCCTGAAGTTAGGTGGGGACTGTAAAAGCACCCCAAGAGGAGGCACCATTATAAGAAAAGCCTCGGAGGTGTAAAAGCCAAGGGCAACCGCCACAGGATGAGGCCGGAGAGAAACGTGGGAAATGAGATGGGAATATGGGAATGAGGCCAGCACAGGGTGTGCCTTGTCAATCAGGCTGCGTTTAGACTTTATTCAGTCTGAAACGACTCCCGTGAAAGGAGTTACATGTGGTGAAGATGTTCCAGAAAAAAAATACCAATTAAAAAATCAGAGGACCGGGGGCTTCGTTACCGTGCAAGAGGTTCTCAAATTTCAAGGCGTACCAGAATCGCCAGAGGAAGTTACGACAGATGTAAATTCCTGGTACTCATCGCCCCTCGGATTCGGATTTTATAGGTCAGGTCCGAAAGGTATACTTTTAAAAGCCCTTCTGGCAGCTAGGCTACTGCCAAGGGGTGACTTGGGAGTTTGGTCCCGTTTTCTGTACCTATGCGCTCCTCCACTCTTTGACACAGAAAACGGGCATTTCTCAAGGATACACCAAACGTTCTCCCAGGTTCTCCCAACCTGACAGCGGCGCCAGCCCCTCCCACTGCGGGCCGGCCAGACCGAGTGGGCCCGACGTGGCGGCCTCCGGCCTGGCGGCGCAGCGGGAGACTGAGGGACGAGCCAGGGCGGGCACCGGGGCAGTCGGGCGGCGGCCGGCCCCGCCCCCAGGCTCCTAGTTCTGGACTCCGGCTCCGCGACCCTACCCACCCCTAACTCATGCTCGGGAAACCCGCAGTCACAGCCTTCGCGACTAGCACCGGCGGCCACGCCTAGGCCCGTTGGCGGGTCTCCATGGTGACTGGCAGGCGCTATCACCAATTATGTCTGGGCGCTTGTTTACGCCCCCCTCCCCCTCCCCTCTAAGCACAATCCCCCCTCCCCCGCAGGGAGCGATACTTCTGTGACTGACATTTCTCTCCGGGGGCTGTTACGTAAGGGGAGGGTCAAGCGCGGCCCCACCCGAGCCGAGCAGATTTGATTTGGCAGGACCTTTAGCCACCGCCCCAACGCCCCCGGAAGAACGTTTTTGACCGACAGGTATAGGAACCACTCTGCGCCGCGAGGCTGGGCGGAAGCATCCGGGTTCTGGGGATAGGGCTGCGGGGCGGAGCCGGAGGCTGAGAACAGGGCCGGGAGGGGCGGAGAGTAGGCAGGGGCTGGGCTGGCGCTGCGGCCAGAGATGCTGTGGGACTGCGACGGCGCTCGGCCGCTGGGAGCACTGCATTGAAAACACCGAGGTGAGGAGCGCTGCCAGGCTGTGGTAGGTGCGCGAGGGCCGTGGAGTCCTCAGACCCGGGCCGCCAGCGTCCTCAGGCCCGGCATTTGTGTGCTCTGCTGGTGGATCTAGACTGTAGCGACGGCGGCCGCGCTGGGACACGGGGGCGGGGCCGGGCACCTGTCCGCGTTTGCAGGCACCTGCTGCGCAGGCGGGCGCCGACCCCGGTGCCTGGCCCTGGGGGCTGACCGGGGGCTGGACCGGGCCGGCCTGAGGAGGGGAGGCGGGCCGAGCTGGCTCGCCCAGTCCTGGGCCTTCCTTCCTCGCCCGGCTCCGTCCCTGCTTCCAGCTTGAGGGTAGCGTCCGAGGACCGCAGCCCCCTCACCCGAGGGTCTCGGGGCCCAGGGCCGGCCTCGAGCTAGCAGCAAGGTCAGGGTTTGGCTCCTGCCTTGCGTCATCCCGAGACAGGTTTGTCCAGATTCCCTTCGTGCGCGGAGATGGGTTTACGCCCCGGGCTAGGGTGCCGGTCCCGGCTGTCCCCAGAGATCCGGGGCCGAGGCATTTTCATCTTTTCCCTGGGTCCTGCTCTGTCACCTCTATAACGTGTGATTTAAGTCTGTTCGGGGTGATGTGCCTGTTTAGGCATAGGAGGTAAGCCCCGCCAGTCTCAAGTTTTGGCTCAGTACACGTGCGGATAATTCGTATAGGGCTAAACTACGACTTCTCAGCTGTATGATATTAAGAGACAGTCTTTTGTTGTTTGTACGACCAGATCAGCAGAAATTTTTAAATTGTTTCGGAATGACCAGGACCTGTCCTGTGTTTTCTTCCATCTATGGTACATCTGTTGGAAAAATGCTGTACCTGCCCAGTAGACATCTTATTAAAGATGTAGTTACTCCTGAAAAGCGTGCTGCAGTTTCTCTAGGTGATTATGTCGTTGTTGGAAACAAAGGCAGCAGTAGACAATACCTCCTTCTTAAAGGCAGGAGGAACCTGGGGGTAAGTTTGATTAATATTTGATTTTTAAAGGCAGAGTCCCAGAATTACTAGGTATTAGACTTGGAAGAGACCTTACAGGTGAGTAATCCACCCCAGTCAATTTACATGGTGGTGAGCACTGTGTCCCAGGGGAACAGGGTTCCCCTGTCAAATTAGGTTTGACCTAGATGACGGTTGGGTGCTGCCCATTACTCTGAATCTGAAAACCATGTTGTTTTCATTTGCGCCAAACAGGGATATTTACCCCCACTACAGATTTGGTGCCCTGCCATTTTGGCTTGTATAATAGTCACAGGTTTGCAGAGACCTCTCAGCAATAAGTTGCTGCTTACTGGATTTAAGTCATTAGGTAAGTGGAAGAACCAGAACCCACATTCTTTTGATTTAATTATTGGGTGACACTGTATCTTGGAAAGCAGAACAGCAGTAATGGGCACTGGCAGGATGAGAGACCCACCTGTGTATGTCATGGGCTCGGTAGAAAACACATTTTTGCTGAATGGGGACATTTGGCACATCCTACTCTAATGACTTGCTTATAAATTTGGTAAAATACTGTTGAAGTTCTGACCCTTTCCACCTTCAGCCTTTTGATCGGTGCAAGTAGGAATTGAGCAGAGCTGTTTTAAACCTGACCAAGCCTGGGGGAATGTCACCGGAGCAGACGAGCTGCTGTCCTTACAGCTCCACTTGCTGCTTCTCCCTTGTGTTGTTAGTAAATGACCCACTGACTTTGTGACCTTTAGACAGGGTTTCTTATCCACTTCATGATGCTTTGGTGGAAGATGTGTGTTTGTGAAAGGTCTCTTTGGCCCCCTTCTGTTGCGTTTGTACATATTGCTTGGCAGTTCCTTAAATGCAAATCCTGCTGTTTCCAGGATTGAAACAGTTGAAAAGATCAGGTTTTTCTGTGTGTGTATGTGGATGGTCCCAACGGGATCCAGTTTTCTCTGTCTCTCATGCTTTGTTTTTGGTTGCCAGTTTTACTGGAGAGAATCATTCTGTGTTTAAGACACGCTTAAATCAGCTCCCGTGGATCTTCAGTCCCTGTGACCCTGAGAACTATGACGGACCTTTTGTGTCTGTGGGTACAGTGCATTCAGAGCCTGGCTTTCCCAGCAGTCGGATGCCTAGGTATTCTGCTGGCAGCAACTGTTTAGTCCGTATCTCCTGCACCGCTGGCGCCAGAGCGGAGCTGTGTCACTGAATGTTCTGAATCCTGGCCAAAGACTCAGTACACAGACTCCTGTCAGCATTTAAAGATGGGAAAGAAATTGGAGTCAGAAGAGGGAGGGGGTGTAGAAGGAAACTATTTCTGAAGACTTTCTCCCCTAGGTTTTTATAACTGCATATTATATAACGTTCTGTTGTATTCCTATTTAGAGGTTCAGATTTAGCTCTTAACTATTTCAGAAGTCTTTAACTGTTGGTATCAGTATGTTTCTCTGTTTTCCCGTCTCATTTTAAGGTGAAGTAAATTCTGAGGACAGAAGAATTTGATGACACAGACCACTGAACTTCTTTGTTGGGAGCACACGTTATGAACCCTTTCTGGAGCATGTCTACAAGCTCTGTACGCAAAGTAGGTATCGTTGATGAACTTAGGGAGGAAACCTATTTGGGTCAAAACAGAGGCCAGAATAATCCATATTAAGGTTGCCTATCGTCTTAGCAGAATTAACTTTGGTTTTCTAGTTTAGGTTTTATTTTTGAGAAATAATTATTTCCTTGATTAAAGTCAGCTGAGACCGAGATCACATCTCAGAAACCATTGTGGTAATCAAGATTCTGTTATTTTGACTTAGGTTATATTCACACATGATGAAATTTGTGACACATATTGTAGGTAGTTTTTCTACAAAGTTCAAGATTTCATGACTAGAGAAGTTTTGGGAAAGGCCAGTCCAATGTGGTCAAGTCAGGCTTGAGAGCACTGGTTTAATTTATCTAACTAAAATATCTTGTAAAATAAAATATGTTTTAGGGAAGCTTAAAATATGCAAACAAAAAGAAAATGTCACCCATAATTCCATGTCTAAGAGAATACTCTAGTAATCTTTTTTTTTTTTTCCTGTACCTGATACTGTGTACACTTTTAATACAGCTGATGATACAGCCTTTGATGGTTCTGGAGCCAAGGAAATACCTGTGGGGTGGTAGTTTAGTCTCTGAATCATTTAGACCTTTGTCTTTGACTAAGAATGACAGTTTATACTAATGATAGTCCAAATGTAAAAACATACCAGTTAGGGACCAGATCAAAATCAGACCCATGTGAGTGAGAGAAGAGGTTCATCTTTTGTTTCTAACCAAAGTGCTGACATCAGGGAGTGACTAATTGCAGTCATTACACTATTTGTTTTGAGATGCTTAGCACCCAACTTTCTACATCTACGTGCCAGGGCACCTTTCTAATCTGGTCTAATTGTGTAGTAACCCCTTGCCCTCTTTCTGGGGCCTTGAAGAGAAACCCTTTCTTTCTGTTTCATGTAAATCCTGTAAACATTGGCTTTATTGTCTTTATAGGATACAGCTGATGAATGAGTTTTTCTAATGGTTTAGCCTTGTATCAGCTTGATTCTGCTGTCTATAATAGCTTGCCCACTCAACAGACTTCCAGGTCATCTCGATCACGATGCTAGAAGGTCCCTGTAAGAGAGTCATTCCAGCTTTTCAGTCAAGGACTGAAGGACATCACACATAGCCTTGTGATTTAAGAATCATCCTAACAAATGTTCTCACCACTTCGTCTTGAATAGCGGTCTGATGGTGAAGAGAAGACATTAACAGGGGATGTGAAAACCAGTCCTCCACGCACCGCTCCAAAGAAACAGCTGCCTTCTATTCCCAAAAATGCTTTGCCCATAACTAAGCCTACATCTCCTGCCCCAGCAACACAGTCAACAAATGGCACGCATGCTTCCTACGGACCTTTCTACCTGGAATACTCCCTTCTTGCAGAGTTGTAAGTTCTGAAACTGTCCAGTTAAATTTTGAATGACCCTTAAAGGTGAAGAATGAAATTTATTCTGATGGACTCAGTAAACAGCAGCCATTTAATCTTGACGGTCAAACCCATCCCCCTTCAGTGTGAGTCTTAACGTATATAGGATGGAATCTGTTGCTGGCAATGTAATCTTTCTTCACCAAGGCCTCAGTGGTGGTATATAAATATCTGCTTCTAAAAGTAACTGTTCTTACTGAGAGCTTGGGTAAGTAAGATTCAAAGACAAATATGTGCTTCAATTTTCATGTCTGTTTTGAAAAGCAAGAGGAGGGAGAAACTTGAGATTTATTAAGCATCCAGGAACTTAATTTTGGTCTACCTTTATATGAGGTGGGGAATTCACCCCCTGAAGAGGTGGTTGTAGAGGGCAGGACGGTGGGAGAGTGGCAATCTATTCTTTCTTGGGTCAGACGCAGCTGGAGGCTGGTGCTTCATTCTGGCGATCACCCTTACGAGGCATCCTGACAGACTGAGAGGCCAGTCCCAGGAGGCGGAGGTCAGGAAGCCTGACCTTAGGAGTCAACAATTGAAGGAACAGGAACCGCTAACTTGGAGAAAACTTAGAAAGTACTTATTAAAGCTGTCTTCATGTATTTGAAGGCCCATCAATTAGAAAGAGGATTTGAGTTATTCTATAGGACCCCCAAAGGCAGAAGTAGACAATTGGGAAGTTTTAAAAGATCTGGGCTCCATCTAAGAACTTGACTACTCACAGAAGTCACAAATTGGACTGAGGTTGTACCTGTCCATAGATTGTGAGGAGATGGGCACCTCTGCATAGTCTAGTAGTAATGAAACAGTGCTTGGCCCGTCAGAGGGGCTCAAGCAGTGAGTGAGTGCAGATGGCATTTTATTTGGTCATTTGTTATATGGGCAGCAAGTTTGGAGAATTAATTGTGAGTCTCAGTCATTTAAAAATGCCTTTGCCCATGAAGCTGTTCCAAGAGCACCCTCCAGTGCCCCCTTTCTTTACTCATGTTGTAATGGTCAGAGGGTCTGAGGCCCCAGTGCGAATGGCTGAGCGTGAGCTGGTAACTTTTAATGGATGCCTGTATTTGAGGCGAGGCAGTGCAGGCTTCTATTGTGGTGTTAAATCTGCTGTATTAGGCCACAAAATCTGCCTTTCTGGCAAAGCTCTGTAGGAGATACATCTGCCATCCACACTGCTGTTGATGTGCTGAATTGTAGTGATTTAAAAATGGAATAACTACTTTAAAATGATTGAAAAATAAGTGTGGTAGCAAATAGGTAAGAAATAAAATGTCAACTGAGATCTAATAAGTTATTTCTCAGTAAAACTGAGGGTTGGCAGGTTAATGTGTTTTAAGGCCCTCAGTTCTTCCCTAGGTCTGGTCACAGCGTTACTTGTATAGGCTCATGGCTCAGCCGCAGGGAGCAGAGCAGAACGACCAGGTCCCAGAAGAGCCAGTGCAGCCTGTCTTCCTTGTTTCAGCTCCCGCCGGCTCCCACGCCAAGGCCTGCAGAGTTCAAGGGCCTGAGTTGGGGGTGAATTCAGGAGCAGAGTATAGTCAGATGCTGCCCATTGACACTTAAAATGACCCCCAAGTGAGGGAAATCCCGTGGAATTTTAATGTCTTAATTACTTAAAATTGGACTTTCAAAGAGCTTTTGAATGTGTGTGGGTAAGATCTGTTGTCCGTGGTCACAAAAGCAATAACCTTACAAACAACTCTTACTGACCTATAACTTGATGTCCAGCATTTAACTATACAGGTTGGCTGCCAAGATGGTGTTTTGGGGAAGCTGATTTCTGGGAGGAAACTTGACTGTGAATCCCTGCTTGGCTTTCATTTCTTAACCTGGGGCCCTTTTCTGGCTGTGCTGCTCTGTGCATATGTTATGAAGCCAGTAGACAGACAGCAGTTAGGGCCAGGCGACCGATTGTGCTGACTCCGTGTGGTCAGGGCATTGGCTGCCCTTTGAGGGACTGTTCCTTCTTTACAGAATGTGGGTGGCTTGGTCTTTATGTGTCCTTTACATTCCTGCGGTCTCACTATTCTGCTTCTGTTTCAGTACCTTGGTTGTGAAGCAGAAGTTACCAGGTGTCTACGTGCAGCCGTCTTACCGATCTGCATTAAGTAAGAAGCATTCGCTCTTTTTATAGCATGTTTGATTCCGCTGACGCAAACTTAGCCCTTAAGTGTTTCTATTTTGTCCTGCAGTGTGGTTTGGAGTAATATTCATACGGCATGGACTTTATCAAGATGGCGTATTTAAGTTTACAGTTTACATCCCTGATAACTACCCAGATGGTGACTGTCCAGTAAGTGGGGGATACTCTCTGGCTTCACTGCGTGGTCAGTGAGGAGGGCTTAACGGGGCTTTCAGAATGTCTTGGTTCTTTTCTGGACCTAATAACTCGTATGACTTCGGTTTCCCAGGATGTTCTGTCCGCTGTGTAGTCCTTTGAGGTTTTTTTGCTCTGTTCCACCTTTGGCCATGCGGGCTTCTGCCTCGTTTGTTTCTCTGTGCAGGGTGTGCCTGTGAGGCTGGAAGCTGTGGTGTAGCGCGTGCCACTCTGTTCTGCTGTGGTGGGGAGAGCAACTTTCCCTTTGCGTCGTTGCAACATTCACTTTGACAGGAGAATGGTGAAAGCGCTCAAGTGTCCCTCTCAAGGCAGCTCTTTGACCTTAAGCAACAAGACTGCCTTGTGAAGTTCCTTTTACAACTTCTGTGTGTGGGTTTAACAAGCTCCACTGCTTCCATTAAAGGCAGTGTCCTTCTCTCACTGTAGCGTTTGGTGTTTGATATTCCCGTCTTTCACCCGCTAGTGGATCCCACCTCGGGTGAGCTCGATGTGAAGAGAGCATTTGCAAAATGGAGGTTAGTAAATAAAGAGTTTCTTGTGGTGATGTAAGCCAGCAAAGGGAAGCCTTAGTCACCCCGCTGTGTTTCCCTTTAGGCGGAACCATAATCACATTTGGCAAGTACTGATGTACGCAAGGAGAGTCTTCTACAAGATTGATACAGCAAGCCCCCTAAACCCAGAGGCTGCAGTACTGTATGTTCCTCTGCTTTGTCATTTAAGATACGTTTAAGATATATTTGAAAAGACAGCGAAGATCATGTTGGTAACCTTTTGATTTAAACTTTTGACACAGGTACGAGAAAGATATTCAGCTTTTTAAAAGTAAAGTGGTTGACAGCGTTAAGGTGTGCACTGCTCGCTTGTTTGACCAACCTAAAATAGAAGACCCCTATGCAATTAGGTGAGTGGTACATTATCCAGATAAGCCGCACTTGTACTGGGCTTCTGTTTTCCAGGTGGCCTTAGAATGGGGATTTAAAAGGAAAGGGAGCCATCTGCTAGCCTACAACCTTTCTAACTTGACTTCAGCTTTACATGTATGACACTGGCCAGGAGCAAGCTATTGAGTGACTTTGGTTTCTCAAAGATCCTGGTAATGTGCTCACTCAGGTGTCAGGACTTTTGCTTCCAATTGGAGCCCCTCTTAAACGGTCATTACCCCATCAACCTACAGATTTGGTGAAAGGGGGGAAACTGATCAGTGTGCGTGAACAGTCCGAATCATGGGTTCCCCAAGCACTGTTAGTGTGTTGGGAAAGAGTGTCTGCAAGTGCTGAGAGCTGAAGTGACTTAGCTCTTGGGCAGCATGGGTGTTGCTGGGAGAGAGGAGCGTAGTGTAGTGTTCAGAGCTTGGGCTCTGCAGTTAGACGGGGTGACATTTGCCCTTAATTGGCTCTGGTGACCCTGAGCAGTTACTTAATTTTACTGTGCCTTGCTTTCTTCATCTGTAATAGGACATCAGGGGTGGTTGCAAGGCTTACGTGAGCTAAGCCAGGAAAAGTGCTCTCTAAGGGATAATTACGTAAGAAAATCATTTAGGTAGTGTCTGAAACTTACATACTGACAACTGATTAAGACTGTTCCTTGTTAAGTTCTGTTTGAGGAGCAGGCTTAAAGATGGACATTAAATTTAGTGAGCCGCTCTTTAGTGTTTCTCTCTTCCTTCAGCTTTTCTCCATGGAATCCTTCTGTCCATGATGAAGCCAGAGAGAAGATGCTGACTCAGAAAGTAAGTAAATGGCCATTTTAGAAATAGGTAACTTGCTGTTTCCTTCCTAAATTGTCTTCACTGGTGACCATTGAGTGTATACAGTGACTTTTGGGGAGACAGACTGGTACAGTGCTGAAATCTCCTTATTGGTCTGTAATGTCTGTTTTTTATTGTGCCTAGAAGAAGCCTGAAGAACAGCACAATAAAAGTGTTCATGTCGCTGGCCTGTCGTGGGTGAAGCCTGGCTCAGTACAGCCTTTCAGTAAAGAAGAGAAAACAGGAGCGACTTAAGAGCTGGTGGATCGGGTGCACCGCGCACTTTCCAGCTGGACTCCGGCCCGTGAAGCTGGCCAGTGCGAAAGGCCGCCTGCAGAGTAAAGCGCTGCGAACAGTGGCTGACGTCAGTGGTGCTCGTGTGTGCTTAGCTTCTAACCGCACGTTCTGGAAACCTCTCTTTACGCGATGCATTACTTCTGTCAGGAGTGTCTTTAAGGTGGTTATCTAGTTCAGTACTCCAAATTATTGGGGACCTTGAAGCTTACGTATTTTTTTGAATATAATGCTAAAGGTAAGTTGCATTCATTTAAACTAATGAAGTAAGCAAAGTTCAACACTAATGATTTTTTAATTGGTGGTTTCAGTTGTACATATGTTAGGGTGCAGAGAGGAAAGGATAGAGAGCAGTTTCCATAGCTTATTAGCACTTTTAAGTGGAGGAGCAGTTGAATGAATGAACCTCAGTCTTCAGCTCACTGTGTTACTGATATACAAACTGCTGTCACTGAGGGACATACGAGGAGAGTGAGAGGAAGCCAGAACACTTGTTCTTAGGTGTTTTGTGTTTTTTTTTTTTAAGCAAATTACTGTATTTTTATGGCAGGAGGGAGAAAAAGTGTTAAAACGGTTTCTAATGAAGTCAGATTTAAATGATGAATGACTAGTGTGTTTTGTAGAGACAATAAATCAATGAATGATTGTTCTTTGTCATTTATGCAGGAAACTAAATACCCTTTTCTCAATATAAACAAAGATTAATTTATAAATGCTTTATTGAAAAATACACTTATTTTCATATAAAATTACAGTAGCAGTATCTTGAGAGGTTTTATAAATATTTTTGCAGAACACTATTCTAATTGAACAGTGTAAGTTCCATATTTCTTTCAGAGCAATATGAAGTTACCTAGTAACTTTGTTTATACTGATTCAATTTACAATTGAACTTTCTCCCTAATAAGATTATTCATTTAACTTTAAAACTGCTGGAACAATAGTGATTAATAAAGGTATATATAGATAATTCAGTAGCTGTTAAATTAACATTTTCTAATCTGTATAAATGGTACTGTGTACTAATAAAAACCTAAAATTCTCCAATCTATTTTTTTAAACTTCCAGGAACACACCCAAAGATATTTAAAAATACCACCTTAATAAAGACATATGTCTTTTTGGATAACTACCTCCTAAAGGAAGAGGTCATAATTTTTCATAATAATCCTCTTAATTCAACTTGATTTAAAATCTTCACTTAGCCAGCTGATCCCTATCAACAAAAATGGAGAATTTCAAACACATGCCCAAAAGGTACCTACTGGGGCTTTAACAATTTTAAAAAAGTACAAAAGCATCAAAGAAGATATTAAGCCTAGAAGTTTTGTACTTAATAAAGTTCACATTGTAGAAAGTGCCATCGCAAATATACAGCAAAATCTGGGTTACAAAATCATGCTTTTTACAGCCCTAAAGTGCCACTTCTTATACAAGTTCACTCACACATTGCACACCAATCAAAGACTTGTCACACTGCACCACACCTACTGGGGTAGGGAAGAATTACACAAAGGAAACGGGAGACTTGGACTGGTTATCTAGGACCTCCAAATCTGGGTGCTTTCCCAATTTGTTACCTTTTAGGAATGCAGAAATCTCACACTCCTACCAAGTGTTTTAGGACGAAATGCCAAGTTTTGCTTTTCATCAGGGCCAGGGCTGACCACAAAACAGGAATGAACTGAAACATGGTTCCTCTGCTGGAACATGTTAACAGAGACCTCTTCTAGACACAAGTACGCTTCGTTCTCTGCAGTACTTGTAATACTTGGAATAGCTTTGCCAAAGAGTTAAAAAATCCAACTGTGTTGGATTCTAGGCAGCCTTGATGGCAAGCACTGCAAGGTAGGAAAAAAGGCAGTTGGGGTAAGTGAAAATATCATAAGGATACTGGAAGGATTCAGGAAAAGAGCCCCATAATGTAGCATGCGTTAAATGCTGCTGCTAAACAGAGTTTGTGAAGAGACAGTTTCAATACAACGGACTAACCTCAGTGGGAACCTCGGTCATTAGCTACATCTTGGAGACGACGTAATAAGGCAGAATGATTTTCTGGGCAAATTCTTTTTGCAGGTGATTCACTTCCATCTTCCAAAAGAATCCCTCTCTTTTTGGTTGGAGTTTCTCCTGTCCGTATCATACTGTTAATTTCTCTCAGTCTCTGGTGGCGGAGGTAAAGATAGATACAAAAAGCGTTAAAATTCTAATACACACAGTTCAGTGTTGCATCAAAGAACCTCAAATTAGTTAAGCAGTTTACGTTGAAGAGTTTGAACATCTTTATAAAGGAAAGAACTAGCAAATTTTACATCCTTCTGGTTTCACTTCTCAGCTAGCTGACACTGATGACTGACTGGGATAGAGGCAGAGTATTTCTGTTCTTTTAACACGCTCCAGAGGTGATTTTGATATACACTTTAACAATATAAAAGTTCACAAATCTGATTCTTTTTTACAAAAGTTACAGAGCATCACATTGCTATGCCATATTTAATCAATTTCATACATTTCCATTTTCCTTTTTTAAAAAAGTAACATGACTTTATATAGTATTATGCCCCCTTTTCCCCCAGTCTAGTGTTACTCATTTTAGCAGCCATGGAGTTTCATAGGAGAGGTCTTAATTCCCTGGTAGGTAATTCATAAGTATAATATAGAATTCTAGAATATATTATACATCTTCCTTGGGAGAACTGAGGAAAGTCAGGCAAATTTGTTTTCTGCATGCTCTGGTTCACGTGAGGAACCTGGAGTGAGAAGAATATTGCCATGGGGCTAGAAAGACTGGATATGTGTATAGGTGCCTTCAGCACGAAGTTTCCCCAGAGTCCCAAAAGTCAGCTGTTAAATTATTTTCAGATAATTTTTTTTTTCATGTGCCACTGATTTCATTGTCCATGCTTCCTAGTAGAAAGCATACTGACCAGATTTTACATGCATTTGTTTTAGGACATGTCAAACATGGGAACGGAAAAGCGTATATAGTGAACCTTCACATGACCATCACCCTACTTCAGCAATGTTGGCCAGTCTTACCTATACCTTCATTTCTCATCTCTCAGATGTTTTAAAGCAAATCCTATTTATTTTTTATTCTTAAATAATAGGCTTTTCTGAGGTTTAAAATAAAACCACCACAGTTTTCTATAATCAGTATATGCACCTTCTCAAATTTTAACCATTTTAAGCAAGCTTTCCTCTTTCTCTCCTACTCTCTTGCCTCCCTAAAAGTCTGCTCTGCTTTCCAGTCTCCCACTTAACTTGAATAGTCTTAAACTGTTAACTATACATTAATTGTACAAGTGGTATTTGTACAATGTATATACATTATATTTTTATCTATTGTGCAAGTATAATTGTGTGCCTTACTATATACATAACGTTAATATAGATTAATAACACATTACTATATATAATTTATATACAGTACACTGTTTTATACACCATGATTTATATAATATGTACATGCCAGTTTAAAAATGAATACTTATTCTCCCCAGATTCATATAGAATATACCTTCTTGTCCTCACCCAATCCCTAAGGACGCTTACTGTTACCATTCATTCACCGAACAGATCAGGCTACTGTGTAGCTTTCTGCTCTTTTTTCTAGGAAGGCATTTCCTAGTAGGGTTTCAAAAAAATTAAAACGGTGTATTATGTCCTGTTCAGTCCACATTATATCTTACGCCTTCTCATATCAGTATATATGGATCACATATCTAACTGCTACATAGTATTCTGTGGTAATCTGTATCATCCAGTGTTAACAATTCCTGCATTTTAACTGGGGTATTTAGACCACCTATATTTACTTGCTCTTTGTTGTCTTCCTTTTTTGGCCTTCTTTTGAATTGAATAGTCCTATTCCAATTTACTTTTCTGTTTTAACTTTCTAACCCGTTTGGAACTGAACTTGGCGGGGGATGAAAATCCGCTAGTAGGGAAAGATCAGAGCAGTACTGGCCCTGCCTTCGACCTCGCCCATCTCTTCATGGCACTGACGCTGTGTGTTTTAGGGATCTGTGCCTGTGTCTGTCCTGGGCCATTTGCCATCTCTGTGTTTTCCGAACAATCTCTGCAAGTGTCCCTAGCTGCCTCCTTAACAGTGAGTGCCATGTGACTCCCGGAGCTCTAGCCTCACTGCTTCCAGGACTTAGTTTCCCTGTCTTGTCCACTTCATCCTGGATGCCCTTCCTTCCACACCTCAGCAGCCTCCTAATTTTTCATCCGTTAAGGCTTGACTCAAGCTTCCCTACCCACTGCAGACTGAGGCAGATGCTACCACTTAAATCGGTGCTAATGTGCGTATTGTTATAAAATGCCCGTTTCTCTTCTTAGGCTAAGAATTCAAAGGACAGAGACAGTTCCTGTCCCAGACACAGGTACTGAGTAATCCGTCAAGGGATCTGGGTTTTCTCTCCCTAACAGAAATTTGGAATTTTAAAGTTTTACAAATGGGACAAAAAAATAAAATTCCAGATTTATAGCAGAATGTTCAAATGCACAAATAGGAAAAGAGAGGGATGAAAATCCAAACCCCTTACCCTGTTTCCAACTTGAAAGTTCTGCCCCAAACCCTTGTTTTCTGCTGCTGTGGGGCTATTGGTCACTCTTCCTTGGCAGATCCCATCGTGTGCGTGCTGAAGGTTTCCAACAACCCAACAACCCTTAGAATCCTAAGTATGTGGGGCTGGTAAAGGCCAAGCTCTACATTAGGCTCACCTTTGAAGGACTGTTGCTGAAGTAGTAGAAGATCTTTTCTCGAGGAGAAAGCATCGCTTCATTTTTATGTGGGGAAATGTAGACAGGATGGTTCTGAGACAACTGTATTCGGCGAGGAGAGCCTGTTCTTACAAATGGATAGGGAGAGAGTGGAGGAGCATCTATCTGTGTAAAAAAAAAATTCTACGGTAAACAAAATTCCTAACCAGTTACTTTTTTGGGAAAATGGTTATTCTTGCTGAATCATTAAAGAGGAATAATAAACCAAATGCTTTATGAATGGTAGATAGTGATGTATTTGCAGCAAAAATTAAACCTAAAGAAAACCATACAATAGGAATTGGTTTAGTGCTTTCTTTATGCCACTGTTTTAACCATTTTTAATATATTATGTCATTTAATCCTCACAACAACCCTATAAGCAAAGGACTACTTGTATTCCCATTTTATATACAAGGAAACAGAAGGCACAGAGAAAGTTAAATAATTTGCAAGGTCACCAGAGCTGGCAAGTTTTGGGTAATTTGAACTTATGCAGTCCGTCTCATATGACTGTACTTTGCAGGGAATCCAAATACAATCTTGTTTAATACTTCACAACAGTAGAAGTTATGTTCATTAAACAAATTATTTCTGTTAAAAGACTTTCTCAGTTTTACTTAGCAAAAGAATTATTTGTCAAGCTACTTTACACAGAAGCAGCTCAAAAACAAGTGATTTCTTATTCTTCACAAGTGGGAAAAAAAGTATGAAATAATCCTCAAACTCACTGCATTTGCCTGCGAGTACTTCATGGCAAACGTTTTAATCTGCTTGATGTAGACGCTGTTGTAGAACTGGATGAGGTCCCCTCTCTCTTCCTCCTCCACGTCGCTGCTGGCCCCCGTGAGGCGAGTCGGGGTAGGCGGGGCGCTGCTCGGCTGCGGGACTGGCAGGGTGCTGCTGGACCTCATGACGGGGCTGGAGTCTCTGCTGGCTGCGCCGGGTAGGGTGGGAGGGGTAATAACAGGGAGGCTTTTAAAAAGAGAATTCAGCAAGGAGGGTAGACAGCTCCCCGCTCCACTCGTTAAATGGCAGCAGATGGGCCCTCTGCACCGGGGAGCAAAGCGCAGATGAGGTATCTTAGCACTGACTGTATGTGTGCATGTTCAGTCGTGTCCGACTCTGACAAGCCATGGACTGTAGCCCACCAGGCTCCTCTGTTCATGGGATTATCCCAGCAAGAATACTTGAGCAGGTCGCCATGCTCTAGGGGATCTTCCCACCCCAAGGATCGAACCCGCATCTCCTGCTTTCCTGCATTGGCAGGTGGACTCTTTACCACTGAGCTACCTGGGAAGCCCCACTAACTTTACTCTCATGCTACTAATGTAGCAAGGGCTTCATTAATTGACACCAAGTATTCATTAGTTGTAGCAAGTATTCATTAATTGACACCAGTTTTCTAGGACCGAGCCCTGCATTAAGTAGTATAAACCAGCAATTAAGGATGGTATTTCCACAGCATGGTTTCTGTTGACATGCCACATTTTTCTGGAACTCAGGTCAACAAATGCCTGTCTTTTCTAACATTTTCTAGTACCCCTAGAGAAAAATGTTACACACGATGTGTCTCAAAACCACGGAATAAAGGACAACTTTGCTACTAAATTTAGCATTTAGTTTATTGTTCCAACGTATCTTTTGCCAGTAAACTGTTTCCATAGTTTCTACAACAGTAATTTTAGTAATTCTTTAGTCCTAGACCTAAAAAATAAGAGAAGCTCCTAATTTAGTTGTATAAATTCATAAAGATCCCACTTACTTCTGTCTTTGTTTAGTTCTGTCGGAGAATTCTGATGGCTTCTGCTGTCACTGCTGCCAGAATTTCTTCTTCTCCTTTTCCCTTTTATCAAAACACTTCTATACACCTTTAAACAGAGCATGAGACGGCAACAGAACTGTATCTATTGAGCACATCCCAGACTATACAACTTTAACATGTTACTTAATTCTCACAGTTCCCTACAGTAATAGCTGTCCTACTCAGGGGAGGTTTGTAAATGCAGCCAAGGCTGTGTATCTTTTAAATAACATTTACAGGATTTACATCAGGGCCTGTCAGGCTTCAACCTTCAAGTGCCGCCTACAACACTACAGAGCACAATAATATCTGATTGTAAAATCAAGTCATTCTAAGTCAGATACAAAGATCTTACATGTCTACCTATCTCTTTGAGACAAGTATATAGCATTAAAGGTAAAATGGGTTTTAAAATTTCACTTAATGCTATTTTGGTTAAATGTGCAGCACTGTGTGTGTGCTAAACCAGACTGAATTCAAGGTGACATAGAATCCAAACAGCAGCTTCCTAATTTACATCTATCTTGTAATTATCTGGATTAAAAAGGAATCAAATATTTTACATCATTAACTTTGGGGGAGAAGAGAACTTAATCAAGATGTGTGGTTGTCAATAATTAAATAAGATTAAAATAGAGTCCTCTTTTTTTATCCTGGAGAAGAGGCTACAGAATCACCTGTAGTTAATTTTTTATATGCAGCAAAAAGACTTTCATCTTTATTTTCAGCCCTGAGAGAAAATGCAGTCACCTGGCTCCGGGCCTGTGGCTGAGTCCTGTAGCAACGCATAATGTTCTGGAAGGATTTGTCTTCTTTTGTGACCTGGCAAAGAGCAAGGGTACACTGAGAGTGAATCTGACTTCTAGCATAATATAGTATGAGATGCTCCATGAACCTGCTCCCTAGTGACACTGGTGAAAACTGTACTAAAAAACAACCATTTAAAGTCTCTGGAAATGTCTCTAAAAAGCATACAACAAATGAAGAAATATATATTCAAGTAAGGCTACTAATTCAGTAACAACAGAGGGAATATGTGGTATCTGAATCAAGACCTAGAATAAACAACCATAGTGACAGGAAATTCATTAGAGGAATGAAAAACTAGATTTGAACTGGCAAAGGAAAAGTTTAACAAATCTGAGATGGAGTTGTTCACAGAACAGAGGACAGAATGAAGAAAAAAGCGCTTCAGAGAAATGGGGCATACCATTAAGGACATAAAGGTCACATAATGTGAATACCAGAAGGAGTGAAGCAGGAAGAAATGTTTAAAGGCTGAAACCTTCCAAATTTATTTTAAAAACATTAGTCTCAGTTCAGTTCAGTTGCTCAGTCATGTCTGACTCTCTGCGACCCCATGGACTGCAGCTCGCCCTGGCGAGCAGCTCTCCCTGTCCATCACCAACTTCCGGAGTTTACTCATGTCCATTGAGTCAGTGATGCCATCCAACCATCTCATCCTCTGTCATCCCCTTTTCTGCCTGCCCTCAATCTTTCTCAGCATCAGGGTCTTTTCAAATGAGTCAGTTCTTCCCATCAGGCGGCAAGTTTTGCGAGTTTCAGCTTCAGCATCAGTCCTTCCATTGAATATTCAGGGCTGATTTCCTTTAGCATGGACTGGGTGGATCTTGTAGTCCAAGAGACTCTTAAGAGTCTCCTCCAACACCCCAGTTTAAAAGCATCAATTCTTCGGTGCTCAGCTTTCTTTAAACTCCAACTCTCATATCCATACGTGACTACCAGAAAAACCATAGCCTTGACGAGGCCTTTGTTGGCAAAGTAATGTCTGCTTTTTAATATGCTGTCTAGGTTGGTCATAACTTTCCTTCCAAGGAGTAAGCACCTTTTAATTTCATGGCTGCAGTCACCATCTGCAGTGACTTTGGAGCCCAAAAAATTAAAGTCAGCCACTGTTTCCAGTTTCCCCATCTATTTGCCATGAAGTGATGGGACCAGATGCCATGATCTTAGTTTTCTGAATGTCGAGTTTTAAGCCAACTTCTTCACTCTCCTCTTTCACTTTCATGAAGAGGCTCTTTAGTTCTTCACTTTCTGCCATAAGGGTGGTGTCATCTTCATATGTGAGGTTATTGATATTTCTCCTGGCAATCTTGATTCCAGCTTGTGCTTCCTCCAGCCCAGTGTTTCTCATGATGTACTCTGAATATAAGTTAAATAAGCAGGGTGACAGTATACAGACTTGAAGTACTCCTCTCCCTATTTGGAACCGGTCTGTTGTTCCCTGTCCGGTTCTGTTTTTTCCTGACATGCACACAGATTTCTCAGGAGGCAGGTCAGGTGATCTGGTATTCCCATCTCTTTAAGAATTTTCCACAGTTTGTGGTGATCCACATAGTCAAAGGCTTTGGCATAGTCAATAAAGCAGAAATAAATGTTTTTCTGGAATGCTCTTGCTTTTTTGATGATCCAGTGGATGTTGGCAATTTGATCTCTGGTTCCTCAGCCTTTTCTAAAACCAGCTTGAACATCTGGAAGTTCAGTTCATGTACTGTTGAAGTCTGGCTTGGAGAATTTTGAGCATGACTTTGCTAGCGTGTGAGATGAGTGCAATTGTGCGGTAGTTTGAACATTCTTTGGCATTGCCTTTCTTTGGGACTGGAATGAAAACTGACCTTTTCCAGTCCTGTGGCCACTGCTGAGTTTTCCAAATTTGCTGGCATACTGAGTGCAGCACTTTCACAGCATCATCTTTTAGGATTTGAAATAGCTCAACTGGAATTCCATCACCTCCACTAGCTTTGTTCGTAGTGATGCTTCCTAAGGCCCACTTGACTTCGCATTCCAGAATTTCTGGCTCTAGGTGAGTGATCATCATGATAATACCATCATGGTTATCTGAGTCATGAAGATCTTTTTTGTATAGTTCTGTGTATTCTTGCCACTTCTTAATATCTTCTGGTACTGTTAGGTCCATACCATCTCTGTCCTTTATTGTGCCCATCTTTGCGTGAAATGTTCCCTTGGTATCTCTAATTTTCTTGAAGAGATCCCTAGTCTTTCCCATTCTGTTGTTTTCCTCTATTTCTTTGTACTGATCACTGATAAGGCTTTCTTATCTCTCCTGGCTATTCTTTGGAACTCTGCATTCAAATGGGTATATCCTTCCTTTTCTCCTTTGCCTTTTGCTTCTCTTCTTTTCACAGCTATTTGTAAGGCCTCCTCAGAGAGCCATTTTGCTTTTTTGCATTTCTTTTTCTTGGGGATGGTCTTGATCCCTGTCTCCTGTACAGTGTCACTAACCTCCATCCATAGTTCATCGGGCACTCATATCTAATTAGATATCATATATAACATATATATCTAATCATATCTAGTCCCTTGAATCTATTTCTCACTTCCACTGTATAATGGTAAGAGATTTGATTTAGGTCATACCCTGAATGGTTTAGTGGTTTTCCCTACTTTCTTCAATTTAAGTCTGAAATATATCCACAAATTTTAACAAATTCCAAGTAAGACAAATGCAAAGAGCCCCACACCCAGACACAGAGTAAAAAAGTTGAAAGCCAAAGAAAGGGAGAATCTTGAAGGCATCAAGAGAAAAGCAACTTTCTGCTTACTAGGAAACTCTAATAAAGTGACAGATAACTTCTCCTTAGAAACTATGGAGGCTATGAAACAGTGTACAGTAAAATCTAAGAATCCAGTATGTAACCAAATTATCTTTCGTAAGTGAAAGTGAAATGAATACAGTCCCAGCTAAACATAAAGACAGAAAACTTGCTGCCAGCAGAACCATCTTACATGAAAATACTAAAGTTCTTCAAGCTAAAAGTAAGTGACCCCACACAGTAATTCAACTACACAAGAAAAAACAAAGAGCAATGGTAAAAACAATTATGTAACTGGAAAGAATATAAAATGTGTATTTCTTCTCAACTGATTTTAATTGTATAAAACAAAATATATATGTGAAGAAATGTGCTGTTATACCTCAATAAAGATGGGACCAAAAAAAGGCAGAGAAAAAAAAAAAAAGAAAACCCTAAAGAAACCACTAGTAAAAAAAGTTAAAAACTCAATGCTGAAATTAAAATGCCATATTAGAAAGTATTTACTGAATGCACATGAAAGCAGTGAAGGAGAGGATCTAAAAGACATGAGACATAAAAAGTAAAACGTCAGACATAAATCCAGTTACAACAATGTTAAATGTGAATGTATTAACACAATCAAAGGAAGAAACTGTTACATTAGATTAAAAAAAGAGACCCAACTATATACTCCATATACAAAAGACACACTTTGGGTTAAAGCAAACAGATTTAAAAGAAAAGGATGGAAAGAAGACGTATCATGCAAACAGCAACTCAAGAAAGCTGAGTGGCTATGCAAAGATCACCCTATAAAACAGACTTTAAAACAAAAAAATTACTAGAGATAAAGAGGGACATTTCATAATGATGAGGGGGTCAATCCACTAGAAAGATCTAACAATTAAAAACATACATACACCTAATAACAGAGCACCAAAATACATGAAGTAAAAACTGACAAATTAATGGAGAAACAGACAATTCAATAATATTTAGAGAGTTCAGTACCCCACTGGCAATAATAGATTGATCAACTAGACAGAAGATCAACAAAGAAACAGACTTTAACACTATTAAGGAAAAAACAACACACTAAAAACCTTACATCTATAGATGTAACAGATGTGACACCCAACAACAGAATATATATTCTTCTTAAGTGCACATTGAACACTGTCCAGGAAAGACCATATGCTAGGCTACAAAACTTCAATAAATTTAAGTGGACTAAAGTAACTAATACATTGTGTTTTGGAACCACAATGGATTGAAACTAGAAATTAACAGAAATTTGAGAAACTCACAAATACGTGGAAATTAAACAACACACCTAGATAACCAGTAAGTCAAAAGACGTTAGAGAATGCTTTGAAATGAATGAAATAAAGACACAACATACCCTAATTTATGAGATACAGCTAAAGCAGTGCTTAGAGGGAAATCTATAGCTCTTAATGCCCATAGCAAGAAAAAAGAAAGATTAAATTACCTAATAATCCATCTTAAGACACTAAGAAAAAAAACAGCAAACACAGCCTAGGGAACTCCCTGGTGGTTCAGTGGCTGGGACTTGGCGCTTTCAACTGCCGAATGTCTGGGTTCAATCCCTGATCAGAGAACTAAGATCCCACAATCCCTGATCAGAGAACTGAGATCCCACAAGATCCCTGATCAGAGAACTGAGATCCCACAAGATCCGTGATCAGAGAACTAAGATCCCTGATCAGAGAACTGAGATCCCACAAGATCCCTGATCAGAGAACTGAGATCCCACAGTCCCTGATCAGAGAACTAAGATCCCACAAGATCCCTGTGTGGCAGCCAGGAAAACAGAACAAAAGTAAGCCTCAAGAAAGCTTGAGAAAAACAAAAGCAAGCAGAAAGAAGGGAATAATAAAGATTAGAGCATATAATAATAAACCAGAAAGTGGTTCTTTGACAAAATCAACAAAATTAATAAAACGTCAGCTAGACTGACCAAGGTTTTAAAAAAAGACCATCAAATTACAACTGACAAAGAATAAAAAGGACTAAAAGGTAAACAATGGTGCCAACAAATTAGAAAGCCTGGAGAAAACCAAGGAATAGACAATCTGAATAGACCCGTAACTAGGAAAAAAGAATCATTCAGCAATAAACTACCTACAAAGAAAAGCATAGGCCCGAAATGTTCATTAATCAGAAGGTAAAATATGGTTAAGATAACAATACTTCTCAAACTAACTACAGATTCAACACAATCTATCTGAACCCCACCTGACTTCTTTATAACAAGAAGAATAGACAAGCTGATTCTAAAATTCATCAAGAATGTCAAGCAATTTAGACTAGCCAAACCTTGAAGAAAAAAGTTACCAATTTTAAAACTTGGACCATTTGTTTTAAAATGTATAAGGTTATGTGAGTTTCACCTCAATAAATTATTTTAAAGAACAAAGTCAGATAAGTGTCAATGAGAATGTGGAGAAATAAGGACCTTCATATACTATCTGTGGAACTGTAAAATGGTGTAGTGACTTTGGAAAACAGTCTGGCAGTTCCTCAGTTAAATGTGGAGTTTACCACATGACCCAGCAATATGCTCCAAGGTATATACAGAAGAGAAATGAAAAAATGTCCATGCAGAAACTTATATACACATGCTCATTAGCAGCATTATTTATAATAGTCCTAAAGTAGAAATAATCTAAATGTCCGTCAACTGATGAATGGATAAACAAAATATCATATATTCATACAACAGAATATCATATTCTAAAATTGACTGTGGTGCTTGTCACACATATCTATGAATATACTAAAATCCACTGGGCTGTATATTTTAAATGGGTGAATTATTCGGTATGTGAATTTTACCTCAGTAAAGCTGTTAAAAGTGTTCTAAGAGTAAGGAAGTAGCATCTTTTTCCTTTTATATTCCTAATGATACTCACCTTTGCCATCACATAAATGGCACACATTAACAACTGGTCCAGGTGTCTGTCCATCATAAGCTCAGGACACTGAATTATGGAGAATTCAAAGCAGGTCCAGATTTTTTTCCTCAGTTCATCTGAAATATCCAATTTAGCACAAAGATCCCGAAGGCGGACACCTGCTAAGTGATAAACCTAGTAGATAAACATAAATATTATATCTCAAATTTTATCTAACCCTTGTATTTCCCGAGTTCTAGACCTAGTGAGGGTACGTGAAAAATTACCTTCCTAAAGAACAGCGATAAAGAGCTGGTCTTCCTGGGTCTGATACTGCTGCTGGCTAAAGGCAGGCCTTGTTTAAGCTGTCCACCCGGGGAAATCTGTTGAATGGCCACCTGACCAGGGACCTGCAAGGTCGTTCCTGTCACCTGTTGGGAGCTTAAGCCTCCAGCCAGGGCCTGAGCACTGAGGGGCTGGATGGAGCCGGTCACAGCTTGCGCCTGCCCAACATTGACTTGGACTGGGAAGAACGTTATTCCTCCATTCTCATTGGCAATACCTACAGTTAGTTTCAAAGGAAAAAAAAGCACAAAGAAAATGTTGATAATACCAGATTCTCCGGGCAGAGGGTTCCCATTTTTCCCCGCCCAACCCCCTTCCTACTCCACACTTGTCTCCTATCATCATTCCAGCCAAATCTCAGGTAATAAATGCCAAAGAACTCAATATTCAACTCTGCCTTCCTTACCTTGTACAGGAATGGTCACTGTTTGCCCATTGTTGGCTGTGACGGTGGCTGTTGCCATGGTGACCAAGGTCTGTCCAGGAACTGGTGTGACAGATACCGCTTCCCCAGGTACATTCTGCACGGGGACAGCATTGACTAGAGGCTGCGGGGGAATGCGCCCAGGGGTCCCTCCATCAGTGGGGCTGTCGTTCTCCACAAATAGTCGCCTTCTGGTAGAACTGGCTGTTGGGGAGCTGTACCTATCATACAGTGTGGTTGGAGATGATATGCCTAGGGTCAGAAAAAAGAAAAGATCGAACCATTTAACTCAAGGAGACAGATCTGACTGCCATCCAAGATATTATGCTCACAACTAAGTGTTTGAAATACGTTATAATTGAAAAACAAAAATTACAGGAGTCACATCATAGCTAAATTCAATGAATGAAAATTCAACTGAATACTATTAACAGCATAATTTAAAGGAAGGATTTTTCTCTATTTGTCTCATGCAGTTGCTTTTTTCACTACATCTTCTGCTAAATCAAACTAGACTTTTCCCTCCACTACCATGAGGTCTTGATGATTTGGAGGCATTTTGAGTAACTATTTTTCTACCGTATTCAGCTTCTACCTAACACTCAGATAACACGATTTCACTGTAAAGCTACTACTTGATATGAAGACTTGATGGACTTGAAATTACTATGGTAACATTTGGGGCATTTACTCTCCATTTTATGCATTTTCATCATTGTTACTTTTTACATTGTTACTTTTTTTAGTAACATTTTACATTGTTACTAAAATACAATGTTATTCAGTAAGAATGGACATACATGTTTTAGATTCAGTTAAGCTTAGCTTACTATTCTTTAAACAACCTTACTGAGATATGATTCACATATATTTCACCCACTTAAATTGTACAATTCAATGGTTTGGGGTATATTACATTACTATTTTTTTTTTTAAGTTGTGGTAAAATACATATAATTTGGCATTTTACCCATTTTTGAGTATACAATCTAGTGGTATCACATTCACAGAGGGTGTTGCTGGTAGCTCAGCTTGTAAAGAACCTGCCTGCAAAGCAGGAGGCCCCCGTTTGATTCTTGGGTTGGGAAGATTCTCTGGAGAAGTGATAGGCTACCAACTCCAGGATTCTTGGATTTCCCTGGTGGCTCAGCTGGTAAAGAATCCACCCACGATGCGGCAGACCTCAGTTCGATCCCTGGATTGGGAAGATCCCCTGGAGAAGGGAACAGCTGCCCACTCCAGTATTCTGGCCTGGAGAATCCCATGGACCATATAGTCTATGGGGTCGCAAAGAGTTGGACATGACTAAGTGACTTTCACTTACTGTGCAGACCACCATTACCACCACCATATTTCCCCAAAACTTTTTCAACATCCCAAACAGAAACTCTGTTAACCACTGTAGCTTCGTCTATTGTTAAGTTTGAATCCATAGCAATCTGAATTTTTGAGAAGCATCCCTTTCTCTTTTCCATGTCCAGCTGTAAAAACTGCACATGAGTGGGTTTTAAGTATTAAAATATATGTAGGGAGGTCATAAGAGGATTGATAGTAGTTCTGATAGACTGTGGCTTAACATTTCAATTTCTTGATGATACAAAAGCAAACAAATCTACTAGATTTACCTTTGGAACAAAGCTGCAGAGTTAAGAATAATACATTAATTGTGATCACTATCTCTGGATAAACAAAAAAAGTTCTCTTGTATAGCACAGGGAACTATATTTAATATCCTGTGCTAAACTATAATAGAAAAGAATATGAAAAAAGAATATATGTACATGTATAATTGAGTCACTTTGCTAGATAGCAGAAAGTAACACAATATTGTAAGTCAACTTTATTTCAATAGTTTTTTTAGTGTTTCAAATTATGATCATTATCAAAGACCTCATGAAAATGGAAAAGTGATAAGTACAAAAAATGAAGTTTAAAGTGGATAACAAGCAGAAAAAGTTAGGCCATTATGCCTCCTGTTTAAAAAATGAGGAAATTTTCATACAGATCATTCATTTTCATTGACTATGCACTGACATAGAGTGATTTCTGATTTTAAAACTGATCTTCTATAGCCAGTGCTTATCAATTACATTAAAAAGTTGATCTAGAAATAATATCTTTCTAATGGCATCTAACAATTTAGAACTCTCTGGATTTACAGAACTGCTTTTAAAAAAGTAGTTTTATCTGAAGTACGTGTTGCACTTGGCAACTGTTATAAAGAGCTGTCTAAAATGTAACCAGATGAACAGTGCAACTTCCCTTTGCTGTACCTCAGGGACGGCAATGCTGTTATGTTAACCAGAGTAGCACTGCTCAGCTGACAAGAGGCAAAGCTAAACATGCCTGGGAATTCCCTGTGACCCGTGGTTGGGACCTGGAGGTTTCACTGCCGGGGTCAGTCCTTGGTCAGGGAACTAAGAGCCCACAAGGAGCAAGGCATGGTCAAAACAATAAAAAACGTGAACACACTCAGGCCATTCCAGTCCTCTCACCGCACTGGCTGTCTATACCTAATTACATCATAGACTCCATCTTTAAGAAACCTTTTTCTGTTTCTTCTGATTTTAACAGTAATACATATTCATCTTAAAAACTTTATAGAAATCACCTGGAATTCTATTACCCAACAATAATCATTTATGGTTTGGTTTTTCCATTTCAGCCCTCTTGTATGTTTCTAGGAAAAAATATACTTAAAAAATAGGAATCACATTAATATATAGCATTCTATCTATTTTAAAAGATACTTATCATACATTTTCTTGTGCTCTTTAACAGATCCCCATGACACTATAATGCACGGATTATTTTCTTCTAGATATACCCTACTAACTTCACTTGTTTTGGATGGAATTTAAATCCCCAAAATACTTCCCCTAATATTTTAAACTTACTTCTTCCAAGTCCTCCAGTATCAGCACGAACTTCACTCACCCTTCTGGGAGTTAGAGGGGAGCCAGCAACACAAATTTCATCTGCTCTTTCCAGGTTCTGAGGTGGCATGACCTATTAAGTAAGAAATGTTTACACAAAATACCATGATTCAAAAAAGTTTTGTTTTTTTTTTTAAACATCAAAAAATAATAATCTAAGGCAAAAGGAAATTATCTTGGTTCATCAGTCCCTGTAAATAAAATCACCTATCTTTTTCACTTTCATACTGAAGTTAAAAAAAAAAATTCTGGGACTTTCTTAGTGGTGCAGTGGATAGGAATCTGCCTGCCAATACAGTGGACATGAGTTTGATCCCTGGTCCAGGAAGATCCCACATGCCCCCGAGCAATTACTGAAGCCCATGCACCCCAGAACCCATGCTCTGCAACAAGAGAAGTCACCCAAAGAGAAGCCTGCACACTGCGACTCGAGAGCAGCCCCTACTTGCAGCAACCAGAGGAAGCCCGAGTGCGGCAATGAAGACCCAGCACAGCCAAAAAACAGAGTAAATCTTTAAAAAAAATTCTGGCAGGTTTAAAAAACTCAAACCTAATAACTGGACACTAAATACAAAGTAACCTTCATTACTCATTTGGAGAATTAGACAATCAACCATTTTAAAGTAGAGAAACTCGATTAGGAAATCAGGACACAGCACTGAATTCTCACTCCGTCACTAAGAACTTGAGGCGGTCACTACCCATTTGACTTGTTTCCTTGTAGACACAGAGGTGACTGTGCCAGATTACACCCAGCTGCTGCCGTCCCACACTTATGAGCAAGACGCTAAGTTTAACTGTGGTCAGTGAAAGAGAATTATGAATAGGATAGATGGTGATATGCTTTTTGTCATAGAAAGACGTTAAGATCCTTTCACAAACCTCTTCGCATGTGGGAACTCTGTTCTCATTGTCTCTAATTCTGTCCCAGAGCGGAGACTCTGGTTTCCATGCTAAATGATCCAAGATTTGTTCTTCAATCTGATTAAGGTGTTTTACCACCTCTCTACAAAGGCCATCTTCTGCTCTAATGAATACTTCTATCACCTGAAATGTTTAAAAATGTCTTGGTTTGTTTAGTAATAACTTTTAACAAGAAAATTATTCAAGTGGAACAGCAAAATGGGCAAACATATTTCAATATTTTTAACATACTTATAGAAACAGAAGTCAATTTATGAAAAATTATAAGGTTAAAGAATACTATTTCGAAACAGCTGCTCTTCATTTCATTACCTTAATAAATAATTATTTAAACTGCAGGTATGAACCATCTAAAATCTTTTGTAAGGTAATACATTTCAAAAATCTTTAAATTAAAAAACATGCTCTATTGAGATTAAGAAACATGACTCAAAATGTGATAGTTAAAAACTGAACAGTCTATGCCACTATAAAAATTAGTTTTAACTAGTGTATGAGAATTAAGATAAATTTATATACTAAAGCAATATCAAGAGGGAAACCAAATTAGTGCTGTAACTGTGTGCCTCTATATAACATGTGAAAAGCTCTTTTCTGAAAGACACTTTCATTTAATTGTCATAAAATTAAAAAGAAGGTTGCTATCATGATTAGCTAGTGATAATTTGCTATTTATAAACTTTCTTACCTTATAAAAAGAAAGTATTCTAAAAGACTATCAGAAATATGGAGGAATCATATGAAACTTTTATACAAAATAGGTCTATACACATTAAAAGAATTTATATAGTTATTAAGACTCTCCTATTTCTTCTCTGCTCCCCATTTAGCGTGGCAATTATTAAATATGTAATTAAAAACAGAAGAAATGTACTTCCATATTAAAATGGATGAGATGACTAAGAACAAGATGCTACTCTCTTCTATAATTTCCTCATCAGTATCAGATTTTCAAAAATACCTTGTAAAAATGATAAAGTGGCACATCGAATATTTCAGTAATAAATGGAAAATTCCCAGGAGGCTTGTAAGAAAAAGTGACGACCTCAAGGCAGCATGCCAAGAGTGATCTGTGGAATGCATCTTGTTCCAGAATGCCCTATAAAAAAAAACAAAGCTTCAACATGCAGGAACGTTTTTATACACTTCTGTATGTCTCAAAATTTTAAAAAGAAAAATTGTCCTGGAACAGCCTTTTAAGTTTCTACCACCATACACTATTTTACTGAAGTTCAGGTGGTTCACATACAATGTTACAGTGGTCTCAGGTGTACAGTGTAATGACTCAGTACTTTTGCAGATTATACTCTAGAAATAAGCTACTATGAGACAGTGGCTGCAATGCACTGTGCTGCACAGTATGTCCTGCTGCTTACCTGTCTTGTATATAGCGGTTGGTACAGTTAATGCCACAGTCCCAATTTATCCTTTGCTCCTTCCCTCTCCCCTTGGTAAGCACACGTCTGTCTTCTCTATCAGTGAGTCTGTTTCCGTTTTGCATACTTTTAAGATTACATGTGTAAGTGACATTATTTCACTTAGTATTCTCTAGGTCCATCCACACCATGCAAATGGCAGAATTTTATTCTGTTTTATGGCTAACATTCCATTGTATACACAGCCAAATTTTTATACAGAATAAAAGCAGTATAGATAGTTTTAAGGAGTCAGAACCATTATATGTCAATTTTACAGTTTTCACTAAAATGTTAAAGTTAATTTATTTTTAAATTATTTTTATTGAGGTCATTAAAAGTAAGCATTACTTCCACAATCTAGAAAAATTACCTTAGTCACAGATCAATGGTTGAATATTTATGTTAAATTCCTATATAGTCGATACTCAATTTATTCTCTACAAGGCTTGAATTAAAATTCCTTGTTATTTAAAAACCTCAATTAAAGTTAAGTCTGAATGTGTTAACCTTGACTGCAGAGTCTTACTGCCCACAGAAACTCTAAGTGATAACACATAGCCTGCTGCAATGAGAAACACTAAGTGGGCAACTGCAGATGAGAGGCTCAGAACACAAGTTTCCTTAGATGACAATCTTATTCCCTCAAAGTCATATATTATTTTTTCCAATAATGGCTGTTTTCTTGGTGGGTTGGGCTGAAAGGGAACTACATTTTATTGTGCTGCTCAGGACATTGGTTATTTACTCACAGATAAATCCATGTCTCCCAGTCTTTTTTGTTCCTGCTCAATAACAGATTCTAATACTTTATAGTAAAGCATCTCTGCAAAACGAAAATGTTTGCTGGCAATATCTGAATAAATAATTAAAAAAAAAAACACATGCAAAGAACATAAGTATTATGGAAAATGAGGGTCTATCCCATCCCCTACCCACAGAATACAATTTAAAAACCAACCCCAACACTTCATATATTTGTATGTACTTCCCAGAGCTACTATTTCAACTGTCCCTAAGATTCCTTAACATTTTCTTCATGGTAACATGAAATTTTTCTAAAATTGGAAATAAAATTTGTACATAAAAACTGTAATAGCATTCCATCAAGATCACACTTTTTTAAAATTCTGAATGGAGCAGCTCTATGCTAAGAAGTATGTAATTGGCTTGCTACTGCACTCCTATTTGGTACTTATACTTCATGACATCAAACAACTCCAAGAACAGGCCTGGGCAGGTAACAGTTATATCTTCTGTCCTTGTTCTTATGAGGAATCACTATAGTTCTATACTTAATATCCAGTCTACAAATGAAAATTAAAGATTTTTTTAAGTGCCAGAAGTCCAACATAATAAAGATTATCAATCTAAAATTTCTCTCTTATTGAGATTAGCCTAGAAATCAGTTGGTTGACAGAAAAGTTGGATATCCGTATTGTGGCCCTCAGACTAGAGTCAAATCTCTTCTACATATTTCTGACTCGGTTTCCAAGAAAGAAATCCATATTAATGTTAACATTAATAGTTAAATTTCAAAAATGAAAACAATATGGATAATATTAAGCCTTACCTTTAGCACAGTTACTGCTATCCTCCTCTGACTGGGAATGCTGAGAATATATCTCATACATTTCCTTCAATCTGTTGGCAATAGCCTGGGTTGGATCTCTGGAACATGACCTAAAAAAAGAAGAAGAAATTATCTGATTTAAGTGTCTTACCAAGTCACAAAGTGATAAACTGTTTACGACTCTGGAATTTCAGAGTAATTTTAACCTGTAAATATCAAATACTTTGAGCAGAAACTGTACATATCCCAATTAATCCAGGCAATCCCATACTTCCTTATAAAAGCTGTTAGTATTACCATTTGAATGAAAAATATTTATTCCATGGAGCAACTCTAACCGGTGCCCATTTGATGAACGAGACTGGCCCCCACCTACCCTACACATCTGCAATCACTGTTGACAAACAAAATTGCCCTCAACTCTTTCCCCAGATAGCAGCACAACTCTTATTAAGGACTCCTAGAAGAAAACAGAATGAAGGGTTATATAATCTGTACTACAACAAAGTCGTAGAAATCATTACTGGCATTCTACATTTTTTCCTCCAAAATGAAGTTTATTTCATTGATTTTTCTATTTTTACTTGAAAGGCACTATATGTTCAATTCAGAAGCATAGTATAAATGATCACCATGTGGGCTTTTGTAATAACTATGTTTTTACCTTGATCATAAACATATATATTCATTGTAGAAATGCAGCAAGTTTAGAAAATTATAAAGGAAATAAAAAGCAATTATAGTCCTGATACTAATGGCTACTGAATATCACATGTAAGCAGAATTTTATTTATGAATACACACAGAGGTTGCAAAACCAGGACTCTCTGGTTCTACCTAGTATCTACTGGCAATATTTAACCCCACTAATGGTATTTAAGATTAAAGAAGCTGTTACACCTAGTTAGAGACTGCAAAGAGATCTGGAAGACACAGAGGTTGACAGCCTTCCAAAATGTATTTATAAAATGCTTCTGATTTCTAGGTAAACAAGATTCATCTGAGAAATATGACTCAGGAAGAGGTCAGGCAGAAAAGCCCATTGGGTGTCACTCACAATCGAGTTTATGAATAAAGTAAGACTTCATTTTTAAAAATGTACAGGAGGAGTGATCAGTCTCGGTATTTAATATGTGTGGCTATGAGTGGGAAATTACTGTATGTTTATACAGGGCTTTCTTATACTATACTGCCAGAAATTAAATGGTCTCCCATAGGGTCTATGTCATTAAATCATAAATGTTTAGGAATAGGAGCAGTCTTGGAGGTAATTTTGTCAAGTAAATTTGCTAAAAATTATGCACAGGTAATTAAATTCAGTCTATTGTGTTTTTCACTAAAGTTCCCTGATATTCTTACTAGTATCAGATCAAAGGAACTAAAGGCAGCTGACTTCCTTTTCAGGCTAAGGGTGTTTTATAGAACTTAGAAAAGTTACAGTGGTTTTACATTGGCTGTGAATCTAACTGGCTATCTTTTCAAATGTGACCCACCCTTCAAAAATTTGCTCAGATTCAGTCCTCATTCTGATGTCCTTCGACAGATGCCCATCTTTACTGATCCATCTTTGCTTGAAATCTTAAGATAGAATAACTGATAATAGATAGTTTAGTGTTTCATTCTACAGTATGTAGTGTTATTAGTTACTGTCTCCTGAACTATGTTTAAAAAAATCTGAGAGCTATGAACTGAGTGTCTGCAGCTGCACCCCTCCCTACTCCCTCCTCAATTTCATGTACTGAAATCTAATCCCCAAGGTGACAATGTACAGAGGTGGGCGTTTGGGAGGTGATTAGGCCATGAGGGGGGCGGTCCTCATGAATGGGATTAGAGCCCCTATAAAGAAAACCCAAGCGAGCTCCCTTCTTCCTTCTGTTACATGAGGACACAGCAAAAAGACAGCTGTCTACAAGCCAGGAAGCAGTCCTCACCCGACACTGACTGTTAGCACCTTGATCTTGGACTGCCAGCCTTTAAAACTGTTAGAAATTAATGTCTCGTTGTCTCTAAGCCACCAATACTCAGCCTACCATATTCTGCTATAGCAGCCCAAATGGATTAAGATACTGAGAAAAAAGGATCATTTTCTATTCATACCTTCTATGTCCTCTAAGGACTAACAACAGAACTGAGCATAACATTGATATAAAATTTTCAATGGGTGAATTAAGGCACAAATGGCAAAATATTAAAATAAAAACTTGGGAGACAGTCAACAACCAAATCTTAGAAGGCAAGAAGGGCTCCAACTAACCTTAGGACCTGCTCCAGCTTCTCACTCGGGGCGTTCCGGAGGCCCGTGAGCATGGTGTGAAGGCGACTCAAGCTGTGTGTAGCCGCAGAAACTGGAGTCACACAAGGGCTGCTGTCCTTAATGTACCTCACACCGGTAAGAGGTGTGGAGACTCTAAGTGCTTTAGACTAAAGGGAGGAAAGGAACATTATTTTAGGTCAAAGAGACTGCCAATCACTTCATAAATGGGAATTCAAACCAATCAGACTTTATATTATTCATAAATATTAGTGATTCAAATGTCACCACTAAGGGACATCATTATCCATGTGAAATTGTGTTAAAGGACAATCTATACTTTAGCCAACCAAGAAGTTTGTCTCTTAAAAGTTAAATATTTATGGGAATTCTCCCAGCAGTCCTGTGGTTAGGGCTCTGAACTTTCACTGCCAAGGGCTGTGGTTCAATCACTGGTTGGGAACTAAGATCCCACAAGCCTCACCACGTGGCACAGACCAAAAAAAAAAAGTTAATGTTTAAAATAACGAAAGTTCCCTAATATTCCTCCTTAAAAACTTAACTTGAAAGCAAAAAGAAGCATGAAAATATTAAGGCTATCTCTGACAAACATAATTTCATAACTCCATCTATTGTTATTTTTGTAATTATTCAAAGACTCACAAAGAAAGCTGAAAATTAAATCCAGCCCAAATGAAATCCATGATTTCACAAAAGCCCATCTGAATAATCCAATCTGCTTCACAGAGAGGATAAAGCAAACCTTCCTAGGGGTAGAACACAACCTGATGCAGAAGAGCCTTCTTCAGTCTTCTTGCCCCTCCTTTAGTTTCTAGAATCTATCATAGGTTTTCCCTCTAAAGCAGACAGATCTTCAGAGAAATAAGTTCAAGTGAAATTCTTAAATACAAAAATTAAAAAGATACAACTTGATGCCAAAGAATTTAAGCATGAATACATAGTCTAATAAAATATCTTTTTCTATATTTCCAACAAACTCTGAAAGGTTAAGATAGCTTAAGAGTTTTTTAATACTCAAGACGGACTATGTTTCCCTATGTAGTAAATGTACTTATTCCAGAGACAGTTGTAAAAACACCAACCAAAAATTTTACCTGGCAACAGAACTGTTCGAGTTCCACGAGATACAGAAAAACACAGAAATGCACTATACAGAAATAAGTCTATACGCTTTCTCTGTGACTTAAGAGTAGAGCCAAGACTTCCACTCTGCTTCAAAGAAGTTAATTCTATCCTTTTTTTAGGCCAATAAGATGATCTAGGTAGATTAACTACATTCAGAAGATCTCCCTCTGTACTTAACAGCTGTTTTTCCTGGCTTTGTCAGTTCTTAGTTGCCGCACTTGGGATCTTGGTTGCCATGTGCAGGTTCTTTAGTTGCAGCACTGGGATCAGACCTGGGCCCCCTGCATTGGGAGCACCAAGTCTCAACCACTGGGCCACCAACGGAGTCCCTGGACAGCTTTTCTTGCAGCCACTGTCTTCCCTGTATATGACCCGGTGCCTTTCCGGGAGGAGCAGCATCAGCAACCAGCAGCATCTCACCACGGTGCCTACAGGCAGCAGTGCTTCCACAAAGGAAACGAGGTAAGACAACCACAAACAACTTCCTGCCCACAGTCCTCAGAGGTCGGCATGGGGCTTCTTGGTAGCCCCGTTTAAGTTCTTAGCTTAAAACTTCCTGTGCATTCTGAATCAAGAAGAATCTTTAACCCCTTAGACCTCTTTTATTGCCTGTCAACTCATACTACCAGGTAACCCCTCCTAATTCCATGACTTTCAAAGCCATCTGTGTCCTAATGACTCTATGTGCATGTGTATGTGAAGTCCTTACACATGGGCTTCCCAGGTGGTGCTAGAGGTAAAGAATCCAATATAGGAGACATAAGAGATGCTGCTTTGGTCTTGGATCGGGAAGATGCCCTGGAGGAGGACACAGCAACTCACACCAGTCTTCCTGCCTGGACAGAGGAGCCTGGCAAGCTACAGGCCGTGGGGTCGCAAAGAGTCAGACACACCTGAGCGCACACACACAGGTACTTATATATATAGCCTTTACATTTGCTGTGAACTCTTGTCTTATCTCTCTATTAAAGATTTATTCATCTTTTTTTTTTTTTGGCTGCACTGGGTCATTGTTGCTGAGTGCAGGCTTTCTCTAGTTGCAGCAAGTGGGGGCTGCTCTTTGTTGCGAGGCTCAGGCTTCCCATTGCAGTGGCTTCTCTTGTTGTGAGCACAGGCTGTACGCGTGCTGGCTCAGTAGTTGAGCTCATGGGCTTAGTTGCTTAGTTCACAGCATGTGGAATCTTCCCAGGCCAGAGACTGAATCTGTGTCCCCTACATCGGCAGGCAGATTCTTAACCACTGGACCAGCAGGGAAGCCCTAGTCTTGTGCATCTTAACTGGCTACTCAGCTCCTCTACTAGAATGTCTAAAAGACACCTCACATTGAACATGCTCATGACTGTAACTCTTGATTTTCACCCCCCAGACTTGTTCTTTCTCCCTCAATAACTGTCAATAGTGAATAATTATGTAATGCCTACAAGCACTGAACACAACACTCATCACAGACCTCATGAAGCTTAGACTCTAATGCAAGGAGACAGATAATGAACAGTCCATCTATCCTCCTTCCCCTCTTCCTCCTTCTGTCTTTCTCTACCTATCATCTTCAGATAAACATTTCTTTCTACCTATCTACCAACCATCAGACAGTGATTAATACTAACACTAATCACAGAGTAAGAGGGAAAAGAAGTCTTGAGGTATGGGAGGATGCTGGTGGTTATTATTTTATATAGTAGTCAGGTTATTAGAGATCTGGAGGAAGTGAACAAGTAAACCACATGAGTATCTTGAAGAAACACACCATAGGCCAAGGAAACAGCTTGCTCTGAGTTGAGACTATGCCTGGCATATCTGAAGAAGGAAAAAGGAGGTTAATGTGACATGAGTGGAAACGGTGAGGAAGAGGTCCTGAGAGATGAATTCAGAGAGGGAGTGGGGCTAGATCACTGAAGACCTTCCAGACATCTGTAAGGACATTAGCTTTTATACCATGCACCCAACTGGAGTCCTCACTGTTTTCTTTCTTGCACACTTGTGCAAGAAATTCTGTGGATGCTGTCTCCGTAACAGAGCCCAAATACAACCATTTCTCCGATTCAAAACACCATGAATTATCACCAGAATCATTGCAATAGCCTCTTAATTCCTTACTCCCACCCCTGCCCCATCCCACCTCTTCACGAGCCCTTTTAAAAATGTAAACCAGATCCCATCAGTCACTGTTCTCTACAACACCTTCCTAATGGCTTTCCTCTCAAGCAGAGCAAAAGTGAACCTCTTCCCATGGCTTTCACAGCCCCATATGGTTGGCCTGTCCCCTTGGTCCACCCTCCTTCACTTCTTAGCCATGTTTCTCTCATGCATTCAATTTCTACCACACTGGTGTTCTCACTGTTCCTTCAAAAAGCCAATCAGATCCGTACCTAGTGTCTTTGTGCTTGCTGCTGCCTTGGTTTCAAATACCTTTCCCAGCTGTTCCCATAATTTGCTTCCTCACCTTCTTCAGGTCTGCGTTAATACTACCTCCTCAGAGACGCCTTTTCCAACCACCCTATCTACACCCAGTAGCCCAAGGCCCACCCATTCTCTCTTCTCCTCAATACTTTGTTCTACTACTCTATTTTAGTTTTCTTCATTTATCATCATCTGATATACTATATATTTACTTGTTTGGTTATTGCTTATCCATCTCCCCACACCAGAATATTAAACAGGATATTCATAGCTGTTTTGTTCACTGATGTAGCCCCAGTGTCTAGGACACAACCTGTATATAGAATATCTTGAGAATATTTGCTGAATGAAAAAACCAAACCAGCCTTGAGTCTGGTCTTACAGGTGAGTGACCCCTTGGAATTAGCCACACTGCCTCTGGAAGTACCTGTCAGAAGCTGCTTATTTTCTATGAACACCACACAATGGAAGGGAAATTCTCAGTCTCTATCATCCTGCCTGATATGACACATGACCCCGAAACTCTGTTTAAGAGAGTTTTCTTGAAGACTACAGATTCTCAGTTTCCCTAGTGTCTTAGATGAAGGTACTAATTCGGGTCAATCATTTTCGAAATGCCTACTATGTTCAGTATGTAAAAGCTCTATATTCCTGGCCCATCTTTTCAAAACCAACAACCAGCCTGAGGCATTCGTTCACAGGAATATTAAATTCTTTTCCGAAGCTCTAACCAAAACTTGTGAAAGTCAGTGTCAACAAAAATTAAAATAATAAAGACACAGATAACCTTTTCCACTGCAATAGGCAGGATGTGAGTTTTCCTTCCGTACTGGAAGCCAGTGAAAGGCGCGCACACGCCGTTGCCGAAACAAAGCAGAGCCTCAGGCGCGTCCGCTCACCCTCGGGCACCCTTGACTCACCTTGTCAAAGTGCTGCTGCAGGAGGCTTTTCATCTGCACCCTCTCAGCAGTCTCTGTTCCTGAACCAGTATTCAGGCACCTTGAGAGAGTCCCAACTTCCTCCTCAGCATCCTCTCCCAGAAAAATTCGCTCATCTAAATTCCCAACAGATAAAACATACTCCTCATAGGCTTTATTGATGGCTTTACTAGAGGGGGGGAGAAAAAACAGGCAAAATGTACACTCGCAGAACTGCCATTTGAGGTTGTGTGAGGCTACTTGTTTCACTGTTTTCATTTCTAAAAATTCTAACAGTTCTGTGAAAAGTTAAACTTCAGTGGGATCACTAAGATAAAAACTGAGGAGTATAAAAATGCAGGGTGCTCCACTATGCTCATGCATTGCACGGGAAGTGTATTTTGCTGACAGTGTTCCAGGGTGGGTGCCCTGTGCCAAGCTGCCAGCCGAGTTCTCTCTCCTGGCTGTTTCAGGCACCTGTGAAGACCTCAGTGCTTCTACATCATCATTTGCCACCTGGGTAGTTCCAAAAGGATTTCTTTCAAAAATCATGATTCCAAAACTTAGCTATCGAAACTTTAAAGAACGGCCGCACAATTTTCAACTACTTCAAAACATGTGCTTTGAGTAAGAGTTGATAGCATTTTTTTTTACTGCATCCCTATATTCTGCCATAAAACATATTCTATTTTTCCAGAATACAAACAATAAAAACATTAAACTCTGATGTTCCCTGAGCACATAAAGTATGAAAACACTTTTTATAACACAAGTACTCACAAACTCTCTCCAAAATTCCCAGGTTCTAAAAAACCAGTAAGATTTTCTTCTTTTCCCTTAAGGAGCTATGATGAAAAAAAAGATCCTTAAGTCATCATATTAAATCAAGTCTTTACCCAGAAAATATTTTCAAATCATTTCTTTACTACTTACAAACCTTTTTTTCATAAAGCTTCCTAATATAAGGTTTCCAGAAATGTTCCTTTATTCCTTTTGCTTCCAAAACTAAGCCGTCATGTAAGGAACACAACTTCTCAATAACGCAAGGTGGGTCGGAGGAAGGTTTATAATCCTTAGCGTGAAAATCTTCAGATAGACCTATGAAGGGTAAAAGCACAGAACAGGGATATCAGGTAGCATTCAACAAGCCTATCTGTAATAAATTAAAATATAAATAACAGAGAGTCTAATCAGCACATGAGTTGTTAGCACATGCATGTATAGGAAATAGTGTAAGGTACTAATTTAACTGTTTAAATACACTTCAAAAATAGCAAATAGAAGTAAAGCTTTTATTATGACTCAAAAGATTTCAGTTATCCAGTTATCTGGAGATAGTTAAAAAAGAAAAATTAAAAAATTATTTTTTATACTACTGTAATATCTACAAAACAGAAAAATAAAATTTTGCAAAGAAGCGTTACATTCAAATAAAAAAGTCACTTGGAGAAAAGTTACTGTTCAAGGCACATACTCTTTATATACTTTGATTTAATTATATTAGATGTTTTTATTATATTACTTTACAGCCCTTCTTGCCCTAGACTCAATGCAAGGCAAAAAAAAGAATAATAATAATAAATAAATAAGAGGGAAAAAATGAAGGGGACCAGCAATATAGAAATACAAAAGGGAGTTAGGAAGAAAATAAATGAAAGGACAGAATATGGAGAACGCTAGACTTACCGAACCAGGAGCAACTGAAGTTAATTAACTCCACTAACTTTAAAAATCTACCTTGTGAGTCAGACAAGTTGAAATTCTAATTATAACCACTTCAAAGCTGACAATCACTCAGAATCCTACCAAAGTATTATTCAAACAGCAAGGGCATTACATACTAGTTCAATAAGTACTTTTAAAATATTTGCTTTATAAATCATAATTTGGCCTCTTACTGTATATCATTCATAGAAATTCTACACTTTAAAGCCTACTAAATGCATTACCAAAATAATTATCATTTCCACACACCTTTTAGAGCTGAAAATGCATTTTAATTATTTTAGAACCATAGGTACTCCTCTTCTGTAGAAAAGATTTGAATGACTAAATCTTTCAATAAATCTTTGACTTCCTCCTGTGTGTCAGGCATGAAATTTGCCAACACACAATACCACCGTCAGCTCGAATGTCATCATTGCTACTCCAGATTTCTAAATTCCTTATTCTCATTGAGTATATATTTCAGAAACTTCTAAAGTTGTAATCTAACACTTTTAAAACGTTGTGGTATTTGCAATTTTTCTTTCTACAAATATTTTTATAGAGAGCTCAGCTCCTAGTTCTCAGTGCTCTGGGATAACTATGGTGATGAAGCGTGGAAAAGCATTAATGTTCTCTGATGCTAGGAAACCTGTACTATGTATCCAACCCCCAAGAGTAAACATAGTGTAGACACATGAGTCACCTGAGTCCCTGATTTACAAACTTACCTTTAAAATTAGGGTTCACAAGCTCTTTACGGTTGGAGCACTGAAGGGCATTTCCATAAACTAAGTCCAAAGCACACAGCAGAAGATGATAAGAATTAACCAGATCATCACTAATCATGGGAAAGTTACCTACAGGATTATAAATAATTATAGAGTCAAATCTGCATCAATTTTACAATATTATAAAAATAATTTCTTCCTTTAATTAAAATGACATTATACAACAATATGCAAGGCTGACTCAAGAGCTACAGAAAGTGTTTTGGCAAATTTACATTTTGAAATATTACTTATTATTTAATAAATTTCTAAGAGTTTAAGAAAAACCAAAACTTTACTAAAAATGCCATTCACTTAATAGTTGTTAAATAAGCATTTATTAAATGCCTGTCCAAACTTACTTTCACTGGTTTTTCTTTTGAAAACACTGAACACAACTTCATAAATTATCTCAAGCTGTAAGAAATTGTTGTATATGAAAATACTTTTCTGTCAGGAAAACTGGTATAAATACTTATTTGGGAAAAGTTAAAAAATTATTAATATAATTATTTTTTAGCATATATGTACTTTAAAAAGACCAGAAACTATCATCAGACCCCTAACAGTAATAGTTCAATGCTTTTTGATGTAGTAATACAAGCTCATACAAACTAACGCAACAGGATCACAATAAAAGATATTTCATTTCTAGAGCAAATATCCTGGGAATAATTGTTGATGACTGGTAACAGAGAAAAAAGTAAACCAAAACCTAAACCTATAGAAATATATAACTTTTGTAGTTCTGGTTTATCTCTAACACTGAAAACAGGTTTTTACAGGCAGTTAAAAGAGTTATTCTTAGAAATTAAAACATAGTTCTAGATATTTTGTGCCTTTAAGCATACCCCTCCTTCCATTAAACACTGCTTATATATGCTTCATATTGATTTTACATTCTCATAGTAACAGATGAATTCAATCTAAATAGCTAACAAACATCTGAAGAATTATTTCTAGACCTCAACATTTTCACACGAAATACAAACACACACTCATACTACTTGGTTTCAGGCTTGTTTTCTTCTTTCCTCACAAGAAAGTTACCACTTACCTCAGCATATCAGGATAAGCAATTCATTTTTTTAAATAGGTGAAACATTTCAACAAATGAATTTAAATGAATTAAAGAAAGAGAAAAAAATATTTTTCTGTCGCCAAAAATACAAATGATAATTAATAGGTTAAATTCTGCATTGATATAACCAAACTAACTTGCTTGGTTTGACTATAAAGATGCTTAATATTAAAATATACTCAATTCCTCAAATGTAAAACAGGAAGTGGTACCTACCAGTTTCAAATTAAAAAGCCCATCACACTGACAAGCCTAAACTTGTCGCTGGTGTGTACTTGCCATAGAAGGAAAAAAACCTGCAACCCAGTAACTTCTTACGAGAAACTTAAATGCCCCTAAAGATCAGAATCTAAATTCCAGGACTCTCCTAACATGACACAGTCTACCTTTCCAATCCTGACTTTAGAAATAAATCCCACTTTGTGAAATATTTTATCTTTCAATCAACAAAGATAATCTGACTAAACACTTGGGATATCATGTAAAACAGGAAGCGGTGCCTAACGGTCTTTAGGCCACAAAGCCCTTCATGACAACAAGCCCAAACTTGTCACCGGTATGTACTTGCCATTGGAAGTCAACAAAGATAACAGGCAAATGTTAGCTTATTTATCAGGAATGAGATTATCTGGGATGCCCATTGTTGCACACAAAGTCATGAAAAAGATGCCCATAAAAGAATACACCTCCTCCCACCAAATAATGAAATCAAGAACTGAATAAAACCAACTAATCTACTCTACTGGAAAAGATCGTAGTGAATCATAAATGATCACAGGACTGGACTGTGAGTAGAAAAAGGCTCTTCAGACCAAATAATTATAGACAATTAATAACAGTAAGATAAAATTCAAACACTGAGTTAACTGTAGAGACAAAAACTATGCCACTCCAGTTGCTCAACTGAGACCAAAACCTACTTGAGGGCAATACACTTCTTTTCCAGTAATTTATGTACCAGTACTAAATACTTACCTCCAAGTGTACATATACCATAAAAGACATAAAACAGATAAAAATCCTCTAGTCAGATATACCTGCCCATGACCTACTGCCAAGATTAATCTCATATATAACACCAGCCACAGCAAGCCAAGGGGCAGCAAATGTTCAAACCATCATGAAAATAGTTTATGTGCTCTTAAGATGTCCTACATTTCATGCCACTGATCACACCACCTTCATCTGCACTAGAGAAACATGCAGTGTGATGGAAAGCAAAAATAACCAAGAGCTTACTTCTGACAAGGAAAGATTTTTCTTTTCAATCAAGCATGCAGCTCGGGGAAGGCAGGATGAGTTGTAACCTATAGCAATCAAACAAATCACAGTGACACCAAGAGCGACACATCCCTGCTGGAGGGCCCACACCCCCAGCATGAAACCAAGAGCTGGAAGATGTGGATTCAAACCCTAGCTCTTGTTCCAGCAGCTGGTTTCTGGGCCTCAGTAACTTACTCTTTAAAATAAATACATTGGGCAAGTTGACCTAACAATGAGAATCTCTCCTATTGAAGAAACACCTTTCAGCTCTATAATTCTTTGATTTTAACTTTGCATTTTATTAGGCTATCTTAATGGCAAAGGCATTCTACACAGTCTACAGAAAAAGCTATGGAACTGTACTTTCTTTTCTTCCTTAAATTACTAAGAATCATTTTTACACAGAAACACAGAGAGGACAATGATAGTCATAAAAATGTATTCCCCTGAATGCAGACCTTGGGTAGGTTAAGTGAGAAGAGAGGGCAGCGAAAATAAATTGTATCTAAAGACATTTGATCAAGCATGTTTATCTGAACAAGGCATAAAAAGTAATCTAAATTACTGAGAATGATTAGTCCCACTTCATTATGTAAGGCATGTGTTGTGCAAAATACACGTCCAAGACAAAAGCACAGACACACTAATGTGTTTTCAGCCCATAATTCAGAGATAATATGCTTTGGAAAAGATGTTGTATAAGAACAAAACTAAAGGATATTCCATTTAATGCACGATGTTTGGCATACTGTAAAGAAATCCAATGCTGCGGAGCAACTAAGCCGGTGCATCACAACTACTGAAGCCTGAGCACCCTCGAGCCTGTGCTCTGCAAGAGAAACCACTGCGATGAGAAGCCTGTGCACCGAAACTAGACAGTAGCCCCTATTGTAAAGTAATTAGCCTCCAATTAATAAAAATAAATGAAAAAAAAAAAAAGCTCAACATTCAGAGAGTAGCCCCTGCTCGCCGCAACTAGAAAAAGCTCATGCGCAGCAACAAAGACCCAGCACAGCCACAAATAGATAAATAATTTTTTTTTGTCTTTTAGAACAGAGGGAGATCAAGAGGGAGGAAGGGAGCAAATATCAAAGGAAAAAAAAAGAAAGAAAAGAAATTCAAAAGATTTATAAAAAGGCAATACTTAAAAAAAAGAATGTGGGATTCAAATCCTCGAGAAATTTTTCAGTGAGCATCTTTTCCTGATACACATTATAGGTTGACACTACCTGAACTTTTAAGTAAGCTAATATTGAAATAAATATTACGCTTTCCTTACCTTTTGCATATATAAAAAGCACCCAACAAAAATGGAAAACTTCAGACACGGTACAGGGCTGTCGCCTTTGGGGGGAGAAAAAAGTCATGAGATAACAGAAGAATCAGAAAAAGACATGACACATGACTGTAAACTAGGTGAGAAACAAAACCCACAGTTGGAGGGAGTGACAGCAGATTCACTTCTCATGGAAAACGTGCAAGAAGTTCTGCTCCAATTGAACACAGGTAAGGAGATAGCTCGGAGCGAGGGAAAGCTCACTCAGAAGAAAAATTCCGGAGAACTGTAGACGCTTTTCCAGGTCAAGAAAGCTAAGGCGGAAAATAAAATGAGTTCTATTTTTTAACGAGTTCATCAAAGCAGGGCAATGATGTTTAATCCTTGCCATCAAGTGGTGAATAAAGCCCTATAATATGATAACCAAGGAGAAGGATCTTGTAGCGAATGAGGAGACTGAGACACATGGAGAGCAAGTGTACAGAGTCAACGACAGTGTGGGAACTAGACCCCAGGCTTCAGCTTCTTCTCCTCAAAGCACCTTGTTAGAATAAGGGTACGAACAAAATAACAATAGCTCTTTTGATGACATCAGCAAGGCTAATGTTGCTTTAAGACCCATGTATATAGTCAGATTGGCTTCCCAGGTGGCGCTAGTGGTAAAGAACTGACTGCCAATGCAGGAGATATGAGATGTGCTTGATCCCTGGGTAGGAAAGATCCCCTGGAGAAGGGCACGGCAACCCACTCCAGTATTCTTGCCTGGAGAATCCCATGGACAGAGGAGCCTGGCAGGCTACACAGTGTCAGATGTGAGTGAAGCAACTTGGCACACACACATGCAGTCATAGCCCTCCAATCTTTTTCCCTCTATCACAGCTGATGAACTGTAAACCCTCAGTCTCTAAAGACATTCCAGATTATATTAAGCCACAAAATTACTTTTTGGGGGGAGCACACTGCATGACATGCAGGATCTTACCCCAAACAGGGATCAAACCTGTGCCCCTTGCAGTGGAAGCACGGAGTCTTAACCCCTGGACCACCAGGGAAGTCCTATGAGAGGACTTTTCAGTGGAAATTCTGGGTTTCCTATAATTCCTTATATTTCTGTCATTAAGAATACCTGTTGTAGGTACTGTTGTAGGGAAGAAGGCGGAGGGGAAATAAAATAGTACCTGCTGTATTTGCTAAGTCATCTGCTAAAGGGAGCTTTAGACCTGTTTAAAACTGGCTTTTCTACCAAAAGCTCTGCTAATGTTTAGATGAGACATGTGTTGGCTCCATATCCCAATGCCCTTATTCTTACAAGGTGCTTTGAGGAGAAGCAGCTGAAGACTGGGGTCTAGTTCCCACACTGTCGTTGACTCTGTACACTTGCTCTCCATGTGTCTCAGTCTCCTCATCTGCTAGAAGATCCTCCTCTCCTTGGGGAGCACATTGTAGGGCTTCATTCACCAGTTGATGGCAAGGGTTAGATGTCATGGCCCTGCTTTAAAAATCAGCTTTCCCACCACAGACACATGACAAACTACATAGTTTTGATGCCTACCAAGATAAAAGTCAAACTTTTAGGCTTAACCCTCAAGCCATTCTAACTTTCAGTTACAAGTCCTAGGGATGTAATGTACAACATAATAAATATAATTAACACTGCTGTAGGTTAATATATGCAAGTTGCTAAGAGAATAAATCTTAAAGGGTTCTTATCAGAAGGAACTTTTTTTTCTATTTAATTTTGTATTTCTACGTGAGATGCTGAATGTTCACTAAATATATTGTGGTCATCATTTCATAAGTCACATCATTATACTGCACTCCTTAAATTTATATAGTGTTGTATGTCAGTTATATCCCAATAAAACTGGAAGGGAGAAAAAAAAATTAAGCTACTCCCAAAACTGGCTCTGTAACTTGAGAACTCTGGAACAAACAACCAACTTAGCCAAATTTCCTCTTTGCTGCTGTGGTATTTTCATTCTTCATCCTCTGCATAGAAGAATCTCTCTCTCTCCAAATTCACCAAAACAGGTACCAAATGATGGGTACCAAAATCCTACCCATCCTTTCAGACATGTTTCTACTTCTTCCATGGAACATTACCTAACTGGCTTATACAGAGTGGATTATTTTTGCCTCAGAAGTCCTATATTTCTATTATCTTTTGCATTTATACATGCCTCTCCCTTGTAATACTTACTGTAAGCTCTCAAAAGACAGTAACTGTGGGTTTGGGTTTTGGCGTGTTTGTTTTTAATATTTGTGTCCTACATAATACCTAACAAAGTAGTTCATATCGTAAACTCTCAATAAATATTCAATGACAAATTTTCAAAGACCAGTTTATAAGGAGAACATGGGCTCTCAGGCAGACTCTTTAAGATTCAATAAGAGCTCCACACTTCCTGTGTGACCTTGGCCAAATCACTTAGCCTCTCAAAGGCTTGTTTCCCCCACCTGTAACAACAGTATCAACCTCATGAAGCTGAAGTAGTGATTAACTCCAGTAATACATGCTTAATTTAAGTCTTAGCAGAGTCCCTGCACCACAATAAATGCTCAGTAAATGGTATGAATTATTATTACTATCATTAGGGTGATACAAATGTAGTTCCTAATATAATATGTATGTGCTCAGTCGCGGCCCACTCTTTGCAACCCCAAGGACTGTAGCCCGCCAAGCTCCTCTGTCCATGCAATTTTCTGGCAAGAATACTGCAGTGGATTGCCATTTCCTTCTCCAGCAATATAATATACATACAAACATAATTAAGAAAATTCTATAATATATATTATAGAATACTTTGTCAACAAAGGTCCGTCTAGTCAAGGCTATGATTTTTCCAGTAGTCACGTATGGATGTGAGAGTTGGACTATAAAGAAAGCTGAGTGCTGAAGAACTGATGCTTTTGAACTGTGGTGCTGGAGGAGACTCTTGAGAGTCCCTTGGACAGCGAGGAGATCCAACCAGTCCATCCTAAAGGAGATCAGTCCTGGGTGTTCATTGGAAGGACTGATGCTGAAGATGAAACTCCAATACTTTGGCCACCTCATGCAAAGAGCTGACTCATTTGAAAAGACCCTGATGCTGGGAAAGATTGAGGGCAGGAGGAGAAGGGGACGACAGAGGATGAGATGGTTGGATGGCATCACTGATTCAATGGACACGAGTTTGGGTGAACTCTGGGAGTTGGTGATGGACAGGGAGGCCTGCCATACTGTGGTTCATGGGGTCACAAAGAGTTGGACATGACTGAGTGACTGAACTGAACTGATAATATATATATGTAATAACATATATCAAAGCAAATACAATCTGAAATCATTTTCCGCAACACTTTAAGGAAAGAAGATACTCTATATTTTTCTATAAATGATGATATCAGCTCATTCAGACTCAGAAACAAGCTTCTATCCAAACTTTACAATACTTCATTATAAACAGACAATTCCCCCCAACCTCAAGCAAACCAGACCGGCTGCTTCCACAGCAGTGGGGTCAACTATACAAAAACGTACATTGTTTTATTTTTTAAAGATGCTCACTTACTATAAACATCTATCACAATTTGGGAACATTTTTATATATTGAAAGAGAAGCAAATGTTATTCATTCAATTATAATAACTCCCTTTCCCCTACTTTTGTCAACATCTTTCTAGTTCTATTTCCACTTCTACTTTATGAAACAACTTTCCTGAGAAAAGTAGAGAATTTGTATCCCATAACTGCCCTTATCTGCCAGGAAAGATGGAAGACATTGAACCAGAGTACATTTTCAGACTTTGCAGACACAGTCAGAAGCACAATTTCATGACAGTTTCAAATCGATTACTCTCCCCCAACTGAATTTCTCTACTTTTCACTGGTTGTAAACATCCGAATACAAAGAGAAGCCTTTTCAGGGGAATTTACTCAGTTTTACATAAAAGTCAAATAAAGAGTTTATATGTATTATAATATGTAGAAAATAATAGAAAAAATCAGTACAGTCAATAAAAGAAAATTAAGTAATCAAATTCTATACCCAAGGTGGCTAATTGGTGAGAGCACCTACAGTCCCGTTGTTGCATTGTTGGTTGCTTAAAGGAAAAGGAAAAGTTTATATGAACAAAGATTCCACACATTTTGCAACATGAGAGAAGCTAAACTCTTCAGAGCTAACATAAAATGAAAAGCAAGAAATTATGATGAGAAAAAAAGATTACTTATGAAATCACATTGATTTCTTAGGACTAGCAAAATAAACTGAGGGATGCGGACCAAGGGATCAAAACTGTAACACAGACAGAAGAGTGTGAATTCCTGTTTAACAAATATAAAAACATACCGCTGTTTTCTTCCTCTTTGTTGACGTGGCTGCTCCTCTTGAGGATATTTAAAAATGTCCTGAAAGATGGGTTCATATTTCTTAAAAATTACAGCAGAAACAGTGAAGTTTCTTTCTAATCTCTCAGTGCGTTCTCTGAAATGTGGAGGGAGATTGGCCATGTCTTCCCATTTCTTCATCTTGTTAAAAAATTCAATTAAGCTGATAGTAAAAATAAAGAGTGAGATTTTCATAATTAATACAAATATAGGTAAATAAAAAGTAAATCAACATTAACTCTATTACTTTTAGACAGTGATATAAAATCACAACTCATGACTCTGACAGGCTTAGTCTCACAGGTCGGTTTATTTCTCTCATCTTCCAAATCTAACTTTCCTAATCTCTTTTTCTGAGATTAAGGTTTTTTTTTTTCAATTATGAAATACACATCAATACTATAAAATAAGTAACCAGAGAACAAAACCAACATTCATATACCAACTGATTCAACGGATATTAACGTAGCACATAAACTTCGACATGTTTGCTTCAGATGCTATAGCAACAGCCAAAGTTCTCATTTGTACTCTTCCCCAACCCTATTTCTCACTCTTCTTCCCCAAAGATAACGATCATTCTACAGTCTGAGTCCTTCTCATCCAAGTTTTTATACTTACTATGTGGTTATATATGCACCCAGCAACAGTATCTTTTGTATGTCTGATTTTAAAGTTTCATATAAGTAGTGTACTGTAAGTAGCATTCTATAACTTACTTTTCCATTCAACAATGGCTTTTTGTTTGTTCTGGGGCCTTGTCCTGCAACATGTGGGATTCTAGTTCCCTATCAAACTCATACCCCCTGCAGTGAGAGTGTGAAGTCGTAATCACTGAACCATCGGAGAATTCCCCATTCAGTCATGTTTATGAGATTAATGTTGATATGGATAGATCGAATTCATTCATTTTAATTGCTAAAAATATTCCTCCATATGAACTACTACTTTTTTGCATTTACTCCCCAACCAATGGAAACTGAGCCTTCTAATTTTGCTCTGTAACAAAAAATGCTATAATGAACACATTTTTATACATGTATATTGGAATTTCTTTAAGAATTACCCCCAAGAAATAGAATTGCTGAGTCAGAGAATATGCATCTTCAATTTTACAGGCTGATGCAAAATTTCCCACTGGAGTGACTGTGCCAATTTGTACTCTCTCTAATGTACATTAGCAATACAGAGTTCCTATTTCCCTGCATAATGGTATTGTGCATGCATGCTAAGTTGCTCCAATTGACTGTGTTCGACTCTGTGTGACCCTAGACTATAGCCCGCTAGGCTCCTCTGTTTATGGAATACTCCAGGCAAGAATACTGGAGTGGGTTGCCATTCCCTTCTCCCAGGGATCGAACCCACGTCTCTCACCTCTCCTGCATTGGCAGGCAGGTACTTTACCCCTAGCGCCACCTGGGAAGCCTGAATAATGGTATTATGAGACTCCAAATTTCCCCAATCTGATGAGATGAAATAATAGCTAATTTTTACTTTGAGCTTCTTTGATTACTAGTGAGATTAAATATACTTGTTACATCTATTAGCTACTTGAGTTTAGGCTTCTTTGAAATCATATACTTTTCCCATTTTTTAGTAGCTATTTGTCAAATTATTAACTATTGTTAGTGGTTCTTTATTTAATTCTGGACATTGACCGTTGTTACACTGTAAATATCTTCTCCCAAACTGCTCTTTGCTTTTAATTCATTTAGTCCATATGGCAGAAAAGTAAATAACCTGAACCCATAGGTAAGAAGTTAAAAACTGAGCTTTAAAAAAAAAAATGAGCTTTTGAAATGGAAATAAAACTGAAGTCTGAGAAATTACTTGTGTTAAAGTATTAGATAAGTTTAGACTAGTAAAGTCTATAATGATTATTCCATAATTTGACCTTTGCTTCTAAAGTTCCTTATCTGTCATTTAACTAGATTACTCTGTCTCCACTTTGCTTCTCTGCAATGATTATACCTTGCACCTTTTTTAAGGTTTATAGCCGAGGTGTTCAATTCTTATCAACTGCCTCTTATTAGGCTAAATATAACTCAGGATGAAATTCAAGATTAATAAATAGACTACAGCTAAAAGATTACATTTCTTGTTAATTATTTTAAAGTAAGTGATTTTTTTAAACCACTAGGTCCATTAAGTTTTGACAGTGGTATTTCCTCCAAAATGCCAAACATCTTTTTCCCACCAGCCTTTAATAAGCCATGAGAAAATTAACGCAAAGTGCCCAAATAATGAAACATAATCAATTCAATTACACAACAGACAGAAAAAGCAACTTTTGCCTCCTCCTTAAAACATTCTTTGGCCTTCTCTCTAACTGATTTTGTAATAGTGTTACTTATCCCCCAAATAGGAAACTGAGTATTTACACATTACTTATAGAAGATACCAGTCCTGTGCATGTAGTTGCAGGTTTAATACCATAAAATATTTACCTTTTCAATTTAGAGTATCTTTACTTAGAATTCTCCCAATAATTACAAAATGCTAAGTCATAACCTTTAATAGTAAACTCCTCATTTAAGTGTCAAATACATTAAAATTTAAATATTTTTCTCCAAAGAAATAAAATATAACGGGTACTAACTTAGATGTGGCAAAGGAAAACCATGACCTAACTTCTCAATTTAGCATTCCATAGGCACAAAGGCTCAGAAAGTGAAAAAGAGAATTCTTACTGTCACTATGCTTTTATATTAGCCGCACTAAAAACTCTAACATAGTTACCTCTGCTCTGAACATCTCAGGATTCGAGTTAAAGATACATAGTTTCCTTCAACTGTCCCTTTGCTTACAGTTGGCACAGATTTTCTGCAAGCCACATATAAGGCACATGCTAACCAATGAAGATCATTTCCCTGTAAAAAAAAAAAAAAAAGAAAGAAAGAAAATTGAGTTTGAGCTAATGATCTATACATATTTCAGTTGAAAAATTCTTGTGGGAAACTGCATTTACAATGATGTTCCTGTCCCAAATGCTTTTATGACACAGTCTTTCAAGGAGAAGTATAAATTTGTTCTTTGACTTTGATCTGGCTCCACCAACAGCACAGATGAAAGTGATGCAATTTTCAAGATCATGAAAGGCAATAGGGATTCCACGTGGTTCTCTCTCTCTCAGAACATATACCTTAGAAGTCCCAACAAGGACAGAAAATACGAGAAATCAAAAGATAAAAGTCTATAACCAGTATTCTATATTAAATATCAAATGAAGTTTATTTTCCACCATACACTTCCATGAGACTGACACCCATCATGATCTTACAGCATCCCTGACTACTAGTTCCACCAGCGCAGGGATTTTGATGTTTTTGAGCACTGCTCTACGTACAGTACCTAGATAAGAGTGTCTGCCAAAGAACAGGTGATCAAGTATTTGGAAAATAAATAAATATTGATTCACTTATTGGGTAAACTGATCTAAGAACCTGAGATCAAAGTCTTTTTTAAAAAAAATTGAGCATATTTTACACATACTTAAAAAAAATAACTAACCATCTATTATTTGTCACTTGTTTATATAACCCTGGGCTCCATACGACTTAATCTCTGTGAGTTAAGCATAAAAAGTGCAAAATTATGCTTTTTCTATTTAATTTACAAGGTTACCCTGAGGGTAAAATAAGAGCTTATTTGGAGGCACTTATGCCCATCACCAAAAATAGTCCTTCTCTTTTGTCACAGGAACCACTAGGAAATAAACAATAACATGGCCTATTCAGTCAGATCACCTAAGCATGTGAAAGAGCTTTGTGAATTCTAAAGCACTATCCATGAATGCTTTATGCTCCAGAAATTCCACATTACCTTACTTAACCTTCAGAACAGCTGTGTAAAGTAGATACAAATATCTCAAGTGGACATACCACAAAACTGAGTTTGGAGTGGTTTAGTAAATTGCCCAAAGTCACCAAGTCCTGTTAGGTTCTAAAGCCAGTACTTTATTAGCTTTTCCCCTCCTCTGCTGCTGCTGCTGCTAAGTCGCTTCAGTCGTGTCCGACTCTGTGCGACCCCATAGACAGCAGCCCACCAAGCTCCTCTGTCCGTGGGATTTTCCAGGCAAGAGTGCTGGAGTGGGGTGCCATTGCCTTCTCCGTTCCCCTCCTCTAGATGTAACTAAATTAAAATTCTATTAATGCAAGAACAAAAAAAAGAATAAACTTAGTGAGTGCCACTCAGGCAAAAACACCATATTACAGTTAAATAACACCTCGGTTAGGCCTTCCCATTCTGAGCCTATTTGCCCTACTCTTTCCACAAACTATTAAACAACTTAAGAAAATCATATGGCCCGCAGTTTAAATACCACTCCCACGAGCAGTCAGACAGCAGATAAACAATACAGACTTCCGTGTCACTTCCCATTGGCCCGTAAAGGGGAGGTGCCTACAGAGTTGAGCCTCACTGGCTAGAATGGCCATTTTTCTCAATTGCAAGCCCCGTCCGAAGAAAGGGACAAAACATGTCTAGATGACAGCGACTCTTAAGAATCCTGTGCAGTGTCTGGGGTGACCAATAGGTCCTCAAGATCGCCGCAGTCCTGACTTCCTAGAAACAGATATGAGTCTATATCCAGGTAGGCAGAAAGCCCGTTTCATCCGCTCACGGGAAGATTCGTCTTTGTTTACAAATACACAAACACAGCCCGAAACGTAACGCATTTACTCAAATGGCAATGCCTGGACAAAGGCAATTAGGTACAGCTTGCAAAGAACTTAAGGAGAAGCCTGGAAACGCAGACGCTAAAATCGGGTTAATTACAGGGCTAGCACGGGCAAGCCCCCCACCCCCATCTCTTTTGAGTCCGTTCCTGACAACTGCACCTGTTCAGTCGGCCAACCAGATTGCTGTATTTTTGTAATCAGACCCCAGCACGACCTCAGCCTCGAGGTGCTAGTTCAGGGCAAAGGCTGTTCCCCCTTCGGAACCGAAGAGGGGAGTGCACCGAGGCAGAGTTCACTTTTAGGACCGCTAAGGGCTTTTCAAAAGCCAGGTTTCCAGGACGAAAGTGAGCAGAAAGGACTCCCTTCCCGCTCCAGGCTGGGGGAGCGGGAGAGCCGGGGCTGACCTGGGGGGGGCGGGCGGTCCCCCGCGGGGCGCCCGAGCAGGAGAGAGAAGGGCCCCCATCCCCCGCGGCGGGGCCTCTAGGCCCCGCAAGCCGCTGGTCTCCTCCCCGGGCGCACCTCCAGCGTGTAGCTCTCGCTCATGCTCCGGTAGCTCTCCCAGGCCTCGGCCCGCGCCGCCTCGTCCATGTTCAGGCGGCTGCACAGCTCGTCAAACCGCTGTTGGGTCTGAGGGGCCGGCGACCGGGCTGGTTGCGCGGCGTCCTCCGCCTCGCCATCGTCCTCCTCCTCCTCATCTGAGGCCGCCGCCGCCGGAGGGGGAGGCGGGGGCGGCGGCGATTGGTCGCCTCCCGACGGCATAGCGTACACCTGTGCGGCGGGACCTCAGGTGAGCCAAGGGCCCGGGCCCGCAGCCATTCAAACCGCGAAGCGCCCGCCGGTCGGCCGCCCTCTCGGCGACTGCGCCGCCGCCAAGGCGCTGGACCTCACGTTGGCACCCGTAGTTCGGAGCACGGCCTGCTGGGAAATGTAGTCCAGGCCGGCGGCCCACGGGGATCAAAAATCATATTTAAAAAAAAGTCATCTCGCGTCCTCTCCCTTAGCGTGAAATAAAAGCGACTTATCTACATTTCAAGTACCTCTTCATCGGGAGACCCATTCAGCAGGGTTGTACTGAAGAGAAAGTATCTAAGAAACGTTGACACGTGAAGCTTTAGTGTTCAGAGCGTCCTCAGAAATAATACTTATCACTTGCGTGTCCTAATCTGAAAAACCAAGGTAGTAGTAAGGGCCTGTCTGCCTAAGTTCAAATTTTGGCATCACTCTTACAAATTCTAGTTTTTTCCTATACTTTTATGTCCGAGCTGCAATGGTTTGTGGTATATTATTTCCCCCATCAGGGATTCAACCAGCGCCCCTTTCAATGGAAGCAGAGTCCTAACGGGTGGACCGCCAGGGAATTCTCCTTTTCTATGTTTTAATTTTATGTGAGATTTTCAAATAATTATTTGATTCTTTTTAAAAAGAAGTAATTCATTTTTTCCCCCATAGGGTGAATTGACATTTACCCCTAAGTGACATATTTGTTCTGTTCTCAGTTGCCCAGTTGTCTTTTTTTTTTTAATAATTCAACCTTTATTTATAGTATCAATTACAGATCATCCACATTCAGATACATAGATGGCATTACATTTGATTACAGAATTTTAGATTAGATAATGAATGGATGAATCAAAATTTTCTTTATCTTGGCATCATCTTTCTCCCTGCCCACACACTTTGCATGATGTGTTTGTCCCACCATTATAAATTCATTGCTGTATTTGATATATTTTCTAGAATATGAGTGCATAATAATCTCTATTTCCAACAGTTAACATATTGGTTGGCCAGTAATGTTCAGTATGTGTTTATTAGGAGACTAAGCAAGTGAATTTTCCCCTGGTGGCTTACCTGGTAAAGACTGGCTTCCCTGGTGGCTCAGCTGAAAAAGAATCTGCCTGCAATGCAGGAGACCTGGGTTCAGTCCCTGGGTTGGGAAGATCCCCTGGAGAAGGGAAAGGCCACCCACTCCAGTATTCTGGCCAGGAGAATTCCATGGACTGTATAGTCCATGGGGTCACAAAGAGTCAAACATGACTGAGTGACTTGCACTTGCACTTGTACTGAAGAGGCATTCAATAAAAGTTGAATATTGTTGATGAGATTGATAATATCATCCTTGAAAAGCTCTTGCCTCATCAATATTATTTAATCAAATAAATTAGATATTATTAACTTATTATTATTAACTTCCATATAAAATGAAAAACTTTTTTAAGAGATTCAACCAGATATTTTAAAGTCTTTTTCTTTTTCCAGATATATTTATATATCTACAATCCTTCATTTATTCACTTGCTTGTGAAAGTCACTCGGTCGTGTCTGACTCTTTGTGGCCCAGTTGTCTTAAACTTCATTTTTCTTTGCTTTCTCTGTTCAAATCTATATGAATCACTTTATTTCCAGTCCTCTTTGGTTTATAAAGGGGTATAGTATTAACAAGTAGGAGCATTATTTTGCGACAAAAGTCCGTCTAGTCAAAGCTATGGTGTTTCCAGTAGTCATGTATGGATTTGAGAGTTGGACCATAAAGAAAGCTGAGCGCCAAAGAATTGATGCTTTTGGACTGTGGTGTTGGAGAAGAGAGTCTGTTGGACTGCAAGGAGATCAAACCAGTCCATCCTAAAGAAAATCAACTCTGAATTTTCATTGGAAGGACCGATGTTGAAGGTGAAGCTCCCATACTTTGGCCATCTGATGGGAAGGGCTGACTCATTGGAAAAGACTCTGATGCTGGGAAAGATTGAGGGCAGGAGAAGAAGGGGACGACAGAGGGTGAGATGGTTGGATGGCATCACTGATTCGATGGACATGAGTTTGAGTAAGCTCCAGGAGTTGGTGATGGACAGGGAAGCCTGGCGTGCTGCAGTCTATGGGTTCCCAAAGACTCAGACATAACTGAGTGACTGAACTGAACTGATAGTATAAAATGTTTTCGTGCTCCAGGAGCCCAAGGCACTGCTGTTTTGCTATGAGATCACTTTTCTCTCTCTTCATTTGACCCTTTGAACATAGCCACCATACTGCAAGGAAGCCCAGGTCACTTAGGGTAGCCTATTGTCAAAGATAGATAAAGCCAGACGTCAGTGAAAGGGATGAAAACATTTTATTCCATCACTCCTGACGGTAGGGGAAAGAGCCAGGCTCAGTCCTGGTTTGTGTGGCGAGGACTAGGGATTTAAAGGGAAAATGAAAGAGGAGAGGTGGGGGAAGAGAGACGAGCTCAAGCAGAACCGTTAAGAGGGTTAATGAATATAAATATAATTAGGGCAGCTGGGCCTGCTAGCTGTCGATTTGTTGAAGGTAGAACTGTATTCTCCTATGGTTGTGATTAAAAAAAAAAAGAACTGTATTCTCTCACAAACACTGGGAACAGAGACTCTGTCCTTCCTGAGGATTACATTTCAAAGGAATGGCTTTCAGGTCTCTAAGAAAGACACTCTTGATTTATAGATGATACAGTCAGCCCTCAGTAAATATAGGCTGTGCATTGGCGGATTCAGCCAACTGTGGATCAAAAAATATTTTTAAAAAAATTCCCAGGATGGGGGTGGGAGAGATGCTCAAGAGGAAGGAGATATATGTATACTTAGAGCTGATTCATTTTGTATGGCAGGGACCAACACAATACTGTAAAGCAGTTATCTTTCAATTAAAAATAAATTTTAAAATATTTCCAGAAATTTCCAAAAAGCAAAACCTGAGTTTGCCACACACCCTAGCAACTATTTACACAGCATTTACATTGTATTTAAAACTAATTGCATAAAAATGAATGAAAAAAAAGAAAGAAAACTAATTGCAAAGCACTTCTATTGAGTGGGACTTCCCTGGTGGCTCAGATGGTAAAGAATCTGCCCGCAGTGCAGGAGATCTGGGTTCGATCCCTGCTTCGGGAAGACCCCCTGGAGAAGGGAATGGCAACCTACTCCAGTATTCTTCCCTGGAGAATTCCATGGCCAGAGGAAGCTGGCAGGCTACAGTCCATGGACTCGCAAAGAGTCAAGACACGACTGAACCACTAACACTTTCAGTTTCTTTACATTGTGTCAGGTATTGTAAGTGACCTAGAGATGATTTAAAGTTTACAAGAGGATGTGCATAGCTTGTATGAAAATACTATGATGTTTAATATGACTTCGACGCCAGCAGATATTGTATCTGTAGGGCTCCTGGAACCAATGACCTGCAGATACCAAGGAATGACTGTACATCTCAGAAGGGCAGAGGAAGGTATCACAACTGTAAGCCCTATTTAGTAAATGCTGTAGGAAGGGGACAGTTGGGGCTTTTCATCAGATGTTAGCAAGAACAATCTTTAAATCCTGGCAGCGCTGAGCTTTCTGAGGCAGGCATTTTAATAGGAACTGGAGTCATCCTGGGACACAACCTTATGCTGCTGGAAGCCATGAAGAGTTTGGGCATCTCTTAGAGCAAGGGTTTGGACAGCACTTCTGCTGTTTTCCCCTTGCCCATAAGACCTGAGTCCCCTGGTCCTTAGCCTCAGCCATGCTGAATGAGGCCGTTGGAAGCAGATCCTTCAGCCTCTGGTCAAGCTGTCCTGGCTGGTGCTGTATGGAGCAGAGATGAACCTTCCCCGCTGATCCCTGCCAAACAGCAGATCTGTGGACAAAAATAATAATAATGATTATGATTATTATTGTTTTAAATCATGAAGTTTTTGGGTAGCTTGTTATGCAGCAACAACCAACCAAACTTACCTGTTAAGTGTAAGACGTGGATCTATCAATTATCATGAAAGAAAAGAAATCACTTAATAATGAACTCTTTTCTTGGTCAATTTTTATGCTACCACTACTCTCACCAATAGATTAAAAATTTTAACTTTGAAAAGCTAAAATTACTTAATAATTGACATTAACATTCCTTCCAGAAAAAAAGAACTAGGCACTTAAGTCAGAGGCACTTTTGATGATGGCAATTAACTGACTTGGACATGGTTGACATTAGACTTCTAGACTAGGGTTATAAAACTTTTATTTCCCTTACTTCCTTGTCCTCCTAGAGCTTTTAGTGGCCATCTTAAAAATCAATCTGATCACCTCTTTCCCCTGTTTAACTGGTTTCCTGCTGATCGTAGAAATCAATGTCCTGCTTCACAGCCTACAGATTCCTTCTCATCTTCTTCTGTGTCCTCATTGAAAATTACTCCCCCAGGCTTCCTTCACCTCTTCAGTCTCTCCTTTCTGTCAGTTAGGTATCAACTTCAATGTCAGTTTCTTGGATTTCCTTATTAAATATTCTCATGACACTTACTATAATCATAGTGAATTATTTACATGTTAATGTTTCATGTTTATTTCCTGGTTATGTGTTAACTGCAATCACAGTAGAAACCGTGTCTGTTTAGTTCTATTCTGTGACCACAGGGTCTAATATGATTCTGGGCATCTAAATGACTCACCAAACTATTTCATTAATAAGTGACTGATTATGATAATAAAGATATAGCTTCTTCTTATTGGAGCCTCAGATTTTGTGCAGGTAAAATCCTTACTCTTGTTATGATCTGATAGTCCAAAAAAATGTCAAAGACCATAAATGGCAGTTATCTAAAAATAAAGTTTACCTTTTATTGTTGTTCAGTTGCTAAGTCATGTCCCACTCTTGGTGACCCCATGAACTGCAGCATGGCAGGCTTCCCTGTCCTTCACCATCTCCTGGAGTTTGCTCAAACTCATGTCCTTTGAGTTGGTAATGCTATCTACCCATCTCATCCTCTGCTGCCCCATTCCCCT